CCCTTTATAATTTTTTTTTTTTTTCGGATTCTTTCTTTAAATTAAGGGATTCAAGTTATCTTCCAAAAACAATCTAGGAGTCATCTACCCTTCTTGGTTAGTAAGATTTTTAGGCACTAAGGATTCCTGGTAAGTAACTTTTTCAGTTCCTAGGGTCCTAGGCTTCTCCGCAATGAGCCTCTCTATACTAGAGACACACAAACCTTTGGGAGTTTTGACCACTTGGTTATTCATGGGCCTGCTTTCATTAGACACGCAAACCTCAAACTTGAGGACTCCAACAAATATATATATGAAATCTCCCCCCAGTTTCTCTCTTTGTTTGAATTTCCAATGCTTAGATCTTATGGAATCTTTCTTTGTAGATTTGCTGGTGATTCTGAAATTCTTTAAACGTTAAATTTCTAAATATTTTTTTGTGACGGATTTTGGAATTAGGATCGTTGAGGCCATGTTTCTGTAATAAAGGTGAAATCTGAGATTTAAAACTATAAAATTTTATTTCTTACCCACATTATGGTCAGGGACATGTTGGGTGGCTTTCCTAGGAAGCCGTTCTCCAGGTAAGGATGTAGGAACCTAGGCTTCACCCATCTTATAGCTATGCCCCATCTGGGGCATGTGGCTTCCAGAGTTGCCATGGAAGAGAGAGTTTGGATACTCATGCATGGAATGTACATGCCACCCTAGAGGGGTAGACCTCACTTCCTGCTCTCTCTTACGAGCCATAATTCCATCTCCTGGCCTCAGCCTCACTGCTGGAAAAGCTTTGAAAATAGTCTTACTGTGCCAGGAAGGGGAAAATGAAATGGGATATGGTGTCTACATGGCATTACTTCTACCACGACTCTCTTCCCTGATCTGATTCTTGGCTCACCTGCCATGCTTTAATAGTCTTACCACTCTCCTGCTCTTAGAGCTCAGCATCTTCAAGGTGCTCACCCTTGTCCTTCATATTTGAGTAAATCACATTCTGTCTGACTCTAGAGTTCATGTTCTTTTCACTACCTCTGTCATATAGATTCACCATAAAGGTGCAGAGTGAAGGGGTTCAAGAGAATTTCCTTATTCCTGTTCTTCTGCTCTTTTTCACCTTGCTTTGAACTTCCATCCTGCATTTATCCCTTTACTTCCAAGGTTCATCCCTCTTTCACCAGATAACTGGCATGAAAAGCATTGTGGTAGCCATCGTACATAGTTCTTCTGTAACTTAAAGTATGAGAAAGGGATGTTTATTTCAAAATTTAAGGTGTTCCAAAACTCCCTTTTATCAGTTTCTGCAAGTTATTAAGCACCCCATTAGCTGGTCAACAAAGAAAAATGACCATTTATGCTTGGGACCACAGTTGCCATATAGATTAGCATTGGCATGTGAAAACATTCTGATTCCACCAGGACATTCTACTGGGGTAAGTAGTAGAAGTAGAGGTGGGGGAAATGCCTTGAAGAGCATTTCCAAGCAGGGATTGCCGGAGAACTCATCCTTAGACATCCAGAGATTGAGATTACCTGCTCTTTCTCCCTGGGTGGGGCTGGAGACACACCACCGCATGCTTAACTATTCACTTCTTCTTTCCAGTGTTACTTGTCCAGCACTGAAAGATCTTATTTCTTTCTTTTTTTTTTTAATGTTTTACTTATTTCTGAGAGAGAGAGAAAGAGAGAGAGCGAGAGCAGGCTAGGGTCAGAGAGAGAGGGAGATACGGAATCTGAAACAAGCTCCAGGCTCTGAGCTAGCTGTCAGCACAGAGCCTGACGTGGGGCTCGAACCCACGAATGTGAGATCATGACCTGAGCTGAAGTCGGAGACTTAACCGATGGAGCCACCCAGGCACCCCGAAGTATCTTATTTCAAAATTATTTTAAAACTATTATAATCAGGGCTGCCTGGGTGGCTCATTTGGTTAAGCATCCAACTCTTGGTTTCAGCTCAAGTCATGATCTCACAGTTCGTGGGTTTGAGCCCCAGATCAGGCTCTGTGCTGATAGCATGGAGCCTACTTGGGATTCTGTCTCCCTCTCTCTCTACCCCTCCCCTGCTCACTCTCTCTCTGTTTCTCTCTCTCTCTCAAAAACAAACATTAAAAGTAATTTAAAAAGACTAATAATCAGCTTACATTTTGTCATTAATTCACTTTTAAGGAGATTATAAATAATATTTTAAGGTGAGATGACTGATCTTATACATTTGTGCTGATTTTGCTTAGTATCAGTTTCAGAGAGTTGCATCTCCATCCTGACTCCCCAGCGCGTAGTATGAGCCTGGCACACAGTACATGTTGGCAGATGTTTGATGACTCGGCAGGTGTTGGTTTAGGGCCTGGGGATTATATGCTAGGATTTATGCCGCATGCTAGAGATGCTGCGTTGAGCGACAGAAACAGTGTTAAGGGAGGGAGTACAGTGGTCAGACAGGAGGAAAGGATGGAGCAAATGGGAAGGTGGTGCTTTTTGAAGGAGGTAGAGAGTAAAATGGTACAGTGACAGGAGCCAGTGACAGGAGTGTGTGGTGTTATGTTCAGCTTAGCATCTGTCACGGGCTCCTGGAAAAGTCTCTGTTTTTCTTTTTTAAGACTTTCAAATGAAGGAGATGTTAGATGTCCATGGTGAGGGAAAAGCCCTTTAAAAGGGGTAAACAGGATAATTAAAGTGACCTTTATCAGATTTGGCAATTAATGGTTAGAATGCTGTTATATACCTTTGTCATCACCACCAAATAACTTTGTTTTCAGCTCTTGGACATGCTCGAGTGACTGGTTGAGATTTTTGAAAATAATGAATTACCTGTCGAGAGAGGTAATTAGAAGGTAGTTAGTGAAAGCTCTCTGTCTCCTAGTCTTGTGGAAGTTTTCCTCAGAGATATGTTACCATCAGTAGCCTTGTTTATGTATATTCACAGTGCTGGCAGCTGACTTAATTAACTAGAAATGAAAGAACTTTCTACACCCTGTCAGGTATTTTTAAGTACATAGAGTTAAGAATTGTCATTACTTTGACTATTACTTAGGTTTAAAAAAAAGTCTATATTTGAGAGAGAGAGCAAGCTCGAGTAGGGGAGGGGGAAAGAGAGGGAGACAGAGGCTCCAAAGCAGGCTCTGCACTGACAGCAGAGAGCCCGATGTGGAGCTTGAACTCATGACCTGTGAGATCATGACCTGAGCCAAAGTCAGATGCTCAACGAACTGAACCAACCACCCAGGTGCTCCAAGAGTTTTTAAAAGGGAATGAGTAGATGTACCCATAATTAAGTTTCAAATGTAGAAACATCAGTAGATATACATTTGATTAGTAATTTCAATAGAAAAACGTGTCCAAGGAACCAGCATCTGCCTTATTTCTGTGTTGTAACCATTGGCCTTCAGCTTATGCGGGGGTGGAGGGGGGTGGGAGGCTAGGCTGGATGCAAACGTGGGCCTCCCCCTCCATTGGCTGGCTCCCAGCCACCCCAGCCTTCCTCACTGGGGCGTGTTAGAACTGCATCAGGTGCAACTCTCAAAATGATGCAAAACCCCTGAGTTTTTCCAATACTTCTGTTCAAGAAATAGTGTCAAGATTTCCTACCAAGAAAACCTACACTTGGGCAGAACTACAGAAAATAGAATGGCATAGTAGGACGGGATCTGAGGAATCATCTACTCCAGCCCATCCTTTTGCAGAAAAGGAAGGGGAGGCTTCAAATTAGGACACACATCTGGCTCATGCATGGGAGAGCCTACTTTTGTTCACCACTTACCATTAGGATGAAATGAGTTAAACTCTTTATAGTCCTTTGCACAGGGCCCAGGACATAGTAAGTGTTCAGCACACGTGAGTCATCATTTGTCATCAGCATTTCTAGTGGCGGAGCCCAAAGAGGAACCCAGATGCCCTAATAGTGCTGTGCTTTTTTCGAGGCTCGTGTTTTGCATTCCCCACATATATAGGGAGAAATGTGTTTGAAGAAATTGAATTGAAATAAAAACAGTGATGACCTCAGAGCTCATTGCTGAGCACATACTTGGTGCTGGGTTCTGGGTGCTGGGCTAAGTAATGCATGTGCTTTCATTTAACTCCCCATCATCCATGAGATTCTCACTCTCTATCACCTCCATTTGACTCACATAAAGGCTGAGGTGGGTAACTTGCCCGTGCTCACACCACTAGTAACAGGCTGAGCTAGGCTTTAAATCCTACTTTGCCTGATTCAGAGTCTGTGTTGTTAACTGTTGTTTTATTCCGGGGGTTGGCAAACTGTGGCTCACAGGCCAAATCTAGCACACCTGTGTTTGTACAGTCCTCAGGCTAAGAATGGTTTTTTTTACATTTTTAAATGGTTGAAAAAATTAAAGAAGAAACAATTTCATAACATGTGAAAATTCTGTGAAATTCGAATTTCAGTGTGCATAAATGAACTCTGTTGGAATAGAGCTATGCTCATTTGTTTACATTGCCCAGGTCTGGTTTTGTGCTAACTCAGGAGAGCTGAGTAGTCATGATGGAGACCCGTGTGGCCTGAAAAGCCTAAAATACTTTTACTCTATACTTTTCCTCAGTGATTATGTTTTGTTTTGTTTTTTTTTACAAATAGTTTATTGTCAAATTAGTTTCCACATAACACTCAGTGCTCATCCCCACAAGTGTCCTCCACCATGCCCATCCCCCCCTCCCTCCCTCAGTGATTATGTTTTGAGAGTCTAGTTATTCAGAGCATAATTGTGGGATTTTTGTAGGGTCTGTCTCTTCCTGTTACCCGATTTTTCTGTTTGTTCCACATCAATGAACCTATTAGTCAAATATGCATCATGTGTATAAAAAGAGTTCATTCTTATGCTATCTATATTTTGTCTTTTTAAACAGAGTGAGAACTGATTTGTTCCTGGATAATGATCGAGGCTTTTGATGGAAACTCTTTTTATTGTGGACTGCAGCTCTCTGTCCTTGCAGACATCTATTGAGCTGATTATTTTTAATCCTCCAAGTATCTTAGATGCAGAAATCACTCTATTTTCTTTCCTTTGTAGTGGTTTGCTGTCTTCTGATTATGTGGAGATCCACTACGAAAATGGGAAACCACAGTACTCTAAGGTATGGCTAATAACATATGGAAATCCTGGAGCATAAACTCAATCATAGAATTGTTCATTGCACACTGCATCGTTTTGATGTCTATCTCAATAAAATTATTGGTTCTTTTGCACAAGCATACTTTTTTAAAAATAAAAGTAAGTTTAGGAGAAATTTGTGAAGACTTACAAGTGTTTGAGATAATATTAGAGATTCTGTGGCCAGTTAGAGATTGGAGGCCAATATTAGAGATTTTAGGCCAATAAAGAAATAATTATTGTTTGGGTTATATATACAGTTATCTTCTGTAAGTGGATGGTGTGAAGAGCTATATAGTTCCATATCGATACCATCAGGGAGTAGATAGCCAACTCATGGTCATAGAATCTGAACGCTAAGACCAGATGGGCTGCTCTTCAGTCCAAGTGAGTTTGGTGCCTAAGAAGGTCAGAGGTCAGCTGGGGGAAGGGAGAGTCAAGGAACACCCTCTGTTTTCATCTTCACAACAGTTCTGGGAGATGGATATTCTTATTTCTGTTGTGCAAAGGAAGAAATTGAGGCAGAGAGAAGGCATATCAACCTCCTCAAGGTCACGTTGCATTGTAACACAAAGGTAATTGGGTACTTGATTTCCTTCAGTTGGAGTTTAACTGTTATCTTAATGAAATGCCAATAAGGAGCAAGCGGGTTTAGATTAAAATGAGATTATTTGTATGGAAGAAAGACAGTCATCTCCAATAGTCAGGATGAAAAATCTCTGGAATGGCTACATTCAGACACTCTGATTTGTCGGAAGTCTAAAGAGTGCCGCTGAGCCTAGATAGTGTCTGCAGAGTGGATACCATGGCTACAGGGGAAGAAATGAGGAAATAAAATATGGTGGAAAACATTGGTCCCCCCCCCCCCCCATATTGCTAACGAGCATTGGCACAGAAATGGGCCTTTCATGTGTGGGCTTGCTAGGTTGTACAGCAAGAACTGGGTGTTTGCAGTGTGACAGCCTCTCACCAAATATTAGTGGGTGGCCTTCACTGTAAACACCGCCCAGGGGGTTATGGAATTCCTCAGGATTTACAACTGTCCAATTAACAGTGGGCGCATTTGTAATTTGACCTGTGTTTTAAACTTTTGAATTTTATGTCACGGATTAAGAACCTCAGTTATTATTCTTTCTATTCTGTCAGTTCTTGCCTTAGGCTGCATCTCGTGGGTTGTTGAATCTCCCTAAAAGTTAATGCTGTGGAAAGCAAGCAGAAACCCTAAATCAAGCACGGGAACGGTGCTTTCTGGCATTTGTACAAACCGAAGCTTCCGTCAGCTGTGCCAGGGCCCCGAGCACTGCGGATGCTGAATCATGAGTCTGGAGTAGAGAAGATTGCATGAGAACTTTATAGACTCAGCAAAGGAGCCACCTTTGCAGGCCACAGTAACCTGAGTCAAACTTCTCACTAACAAGTTCAGGCAGTTTTTTTTTTTTTTTTTTTTAGGAGCAGAATAGCTAATTGGCCTCCAGAGGTCATTAGAGGTCCCAGAAGGAAGCCTTATCATCAACAAGACACATCAAATCTCATATCAGTTATAACTAGAATTTAAAACAAAGGGCATTTAAGTTCTGGCAAAGGAAGTTTTTATTGCAGTTTGTTTTTGTGTTCATTGCTTTTCTCTTATTTGTGCCTCATTTTCTCCAAACAGATCACATCTCCAAAGTTATTTTCTTCATGTATAATGAATTAAGCATAACAGTCTGTTTTTTATGTGTTTATATTTACATTTACACCCCAGAAACTGACATGGCATGGTGCATTATCTTGAAGCAGAATTAAAAAAATTATTTTAATGTTTTTATTTATTTTTGAGAGAGAGAGAAAGAGAGAGAGCGCAAGCAGGGGAAGGGCAGAGAGAGAGAGAGAGAGAGAAAGAATCTGAAGCAAGCTCCAGGTTCTAAGCTGTCAGCACAGAGCCCTACATGGGGCTCAAACTCACAAACCATGAGATCATGACCTGAATCGAGTCGGACGCTTAACCAACTGAGCCACCCAGGTGGCTCAGGATTTTTTTTACAGACTTTCTTTTTAAACTTCACATTGCCTTCCATGTTAAGAAAATCTTTGTACAGAGTACAGTGTACAGAGTACAGAGTACATTGAAGGAAATAAACACGTAAAGATGGTTAGGTTCATTAAACCTGTTTCAACCCAGTGTGCAATTTTTCTTCCAAGACTTCAAACTATTTAGAAAAAAGCATATGTGTACACACACACACACACACACACACACACAGTTATTCACTAGAGATGAAAAAGAATTACTTGTAACTTATTTGGATTTGACCTTAAATATAAATGCAGACATTGAAAATATTCTGGAAATTAGTTTCAGACAGAACAATGAATCCCCCCTTGAGGAAGCTTGTTTAGATTTTCCTGCTTCACCACTACCAAGCCCCTATCTAGTTCCCACTTCTTGCTAAGAGAGGCCAATGTCTTAGGCTTTTATTTTCTTTATTGGACAAAAGTGGGGTATAAGGACTTCTTTCCTTGCGAAACAAAGATGGGAAGTGGAGAGGTCAACAATTAAGTAGTCAGGATAGAATGGGTGCCAGGCAGCAGATGAATATGGAAGAACTTTGGTTGTGCCTTCAACAGAGCAAGAGCTTTTGTTAGAGTTCCTACATGGTGCTTTACACACAATATCTGGTGTGATCAACAACTTTGTTGATCAACTTTGTTGATGAACCTATTAAAAACAAGTTAATGTTTAATGTTTAGTTCTTGTAAAAGAATTAGGTATCAGTATGACAGTGTAAAAGTACTTTTCAACTTTAACTATTTCTATTAAGTCCCTTTTAAGTGAACCAGTGACTTTGAGTGCTTACTGATACTTTGGTTTCAACTCTGCTGATGAAAAGAACTATCAGGTGGCCAGCAGTGTGAGCCTCAACAGATTGGTGCTGGACTCCTATCCCCGCTTCTCTCTATTTTATTACTCTTTATCATTATTGGGTGCCGAAAAGGACATTTCCTGGCTCTGTTTTCTCATCATGGCTTCTTCTTGTCCCCTTGCTCACTCCCACGCCAGAAGGAAGAGCAATTCAACTGATGGGAAGAAGTTGAGTATGTCTGAGTAGTTCTTATTCCTGTCTTTCATGGGCTCCATTTCCTTACAGGAAGAGCACATTTTCTGTAGTTTTCCACACTCTTAAGTTGCACAGTGGCAGCCCAGTGTGTGTGTGTGTGTGTGTGTGTGTGTGTGTGTGTGTGTGTGTTGGTAGTGGGGGTTTGTTCTGTGTTGTCTATCCCTGGGTGGGTAAGCGTAGCCATCTCAGAGGTGAAGCATTAGCAGACTTACTGGATTCTCAGCTAATCCTCTCCTCTGGTGTATCAAAAATTAAGGTGACACTTTGATCTGTTTCAGTCCTGTTTCAGCCATGGGTCACTCTCTCATTTGATTTTAAACTTGTGTGGGTACTGCTTCACTCACTCTAGGATACCTGTAATCAAGGTGACGGACAACAGTAAGTGCTGGTGAAGACAAGGAGAGCTAGGACCCTCATCTACTTCCGGTAGGAATGTACAATGATGGAGCTGCTTTGGAAAACAGTCTGACAGTTCCTCAAAAAGTTAAGCATAGAATTACCTTGTGACCCAGCTGCTCCACTCCTGGGTAGATACCCAAGTGAACTGAAAACATAGGTTTAAGCAAAAGCTTGTACATGGATGTTAACACAGCAGCATTATTCATAATTATTCAAAAAAGTGGAAACAACCCAAATGGCCATCAACTGATGAAGAAATAAGATGTGATGTATTCACACAAGGGAATACTATTAAGCCACAACAAGTAATAAGGAACTAACATAAGGTACGACATGGGTGAATCTTGTAAACATTATGCTAAGTCAGAGAAGCCCGTCACGAAGGATGTTGCATGAATCCGGTTATTTAAAATGTGTAGAATAGGCAAATCTACGAAGACCAAAAGTAGGATATGGCTGCCAGGGCTGGGGTCAGGAGGGATAGGAAATGGCTGATAATGGGTACAAGATTTCCTTCTGAGATGCTGAAAATATTCTGGAATTAGTGGTGATGGTAGCACAACTCACTGAGTGCACTAAAAACCACTGAATTATACTCTGCAAAGGGGTGAATTTTCTGGCTTGTCAATTATATCTTAAAGAAAAAATAAACCCTCAGGTGGGAAATGGGGACTTATGTACCCACCTTCTCAACAAACATGAATCCTTAGCTCCTTTAAGATTGGTCTTGTAATTCAGGCTCATAAATAAGTCATCTGTATTCATTAGACAGATACCGATTTAGCTTACTATGATCTAGTCCCTGTTCTAGCACTGGATATACATCAGTGAACCAAACAGATAAAAATCCCTGTCTTTGTTCTTTATCACTATAATCACATAACCCTCCTAGAAGTTTTTGTACTCTTTCTTTTTTTTAATTTAAGTCAAATATCACCCTGGCTCAGTTCAAGCTCACTTCTTACGTGAAATGTCCTGGGCAGGGATCCTTTTGGAGGAAAATGGGCCTCTGTGGGCATGGCTCCTGGCTGGGAAATTTATTTATTTATTTTTTTATTTTTTTAAATTTTTAATGTTTTATTTGTTTCTAGGAGAGAGAGAGAGACAGTGTGAGCAGGGGAGGGTCAGAGAGAGAGGGAGTCACAGACTGAAACAGGCTCCAGGCCCTGAGCTGGCAGTCAGCACAGAGCCCGACGCGGGGCTCGAACCCACGAACCACGAGATCATGACCTAAGCGAAAGTCGGACGCTTAACCGACTAAGCCACCCAGGCGCCCCTTGGCTGGGAAATTTAAAAAAATTCGAGAGAGTAGACAACACTGGCTCCTTACAAAGCTATTTTAAATTTGAATAGGAGAATTTTGTATGACCTATTAAAAATCTATATAGCATTGGTACAGCTAAGCTGTTTTAGTACTTGAATATTTTCTCCTATTGAGTTTAAAGAAGGTAAATAATTAAGCTAGTATTGTGGTCACAAGTTTCTTGATTTTCTGAAAAATTTTTTTTCATTTCCTTATGCTGTGGTATTCAAATTCAGGTATATGTATTCAGTGAAAGATATCTTTTTCTTTTTTGCTCTCAGCCCTCTGTTGTATTAAATAAATTGATAGACCCTGATGATTGATAAGTCTGAATGTAAAGATATGCATATAGAAAAATAATTTGAATAGAGTGTCATATTTTATTATTATATTCAGCACCTGGAATATCAAAATATACACATTTGTGAACTAAGACCTACGTAGTTTTTTTCTCAAATGTTTACCCAAAAGTGCAGGAGTTTATTTGAGGTTTTTAAGCAATGAAGATAATAATAACTGACTGATAGACCTTGACTGATGTACAGATAAGGTAGTTAAACAGACAGAAAGGTAGAGCAGGTTTAGAATAAATCAAATTGAAACAATAGGTTCTATTTTCCAATAGGCTGTATTTCAAGTGAGTAGAATCAAACTGTTTCTGTCATTTGATTGATAATACCAGGGACCCAAGTCTCTTTTTTCCCCTACATGTTGTTAGCATTGGACTCACAGAGCCATCATCCCAAGCTGCTTCTGATTAGGAAGTGCTTTAAAGGACGCACAGTCAGGAGCGCCTGGGTGGCTTAGTTGGTTGAGCGTCCGACTTTCGCTTAGGTCATGATCTCGCGGTTTGTGGGTTTGAGCCCCGCGTCGGGCTCTGTGCTGACTGCCAGCTCAGAGCCGGGAGCCTATTTCAGAGTCTGTATCTCCCTCTCTCTCTGACCCTCCCTGCTCACGCTGTCTCTCTCTCTCTCCTAGAAATAAAAATTTAAAAAAGTATAAAAAAAAATAAAAAAATAAAGGACGCACAGTCAGTGTTCATTACTGGCAGGAGTGGCCTGGTGGTTTCCAATAAGGAGCTTGGAAACCTACTGGAGCAAAGTTGCTAGTATTTAAGTGTTATCTGACTTGCAGAGTGTTCAGATGTGTGGAAATGGTAGGTTGGGGAGCATTTGTACTAGGACTTTTGAGTTCCTTTGAGTAGCCAATAACTTCCACTTATCAGATGCTCTATTTTGGTGAATTTAAATAACTGACTGACAGTTTTGAATTCGAATATGCTGATGCCTCTGGAGACTCACATAAACTGTGTCCTGTGCTGAATTATCCCATTTGGCTTGTCCCGCCTGCTGTTTGCCTAGTCACGGCTCTGTGATGTGTTCATAGGTGCTGATCTGGAAGTGACTGGTCAGTGCTCTAGAACTGTCTGAGGCCTTCGCAACTGGAGAAAGGAACACTAACTCAAGAGCCTGAAAACGTGATATTCACTGTGGCTTCTTGTGTCTTTAACAGAGCCTTTTAGTGCTTTGTCTCTGTTTCCCTGTCTGTACATGGAGAGAGTAGTTACTGTGAGACAGGGAGTGTTCAAGATGGTTTGATCCTTGGGTGGAAGGCACCCCCAGAGCTGACCGTCCAATGTCATTGCTCACAGAGCCTCTGGGAGTGGCCCATCTGCACTGTTATCCCTGTTACCCCGGAGGAAATGCCTCTTCTCAACTAGCATTTACTGGAGATGAAATACTTCAAGACGTTACTTTGCAGTGATATTTATAAAACGCTACATACATCTGGAGAGTTGCCAAATAGTATTTTTATGGTAATGTTTTCTGAATATCTTATAAATTTAGTAATAAGAAACTCAGAAAATCCTAAAATACTACCAAATACTAATACTAAATTAGAGCCTGCCGAATTGCTCGTAGTGCTTAATATAACTAGAGAATTTAGATGTTTAAGCTTTCTTATGATAATAAACCTCAAGGATTTCATGTTACCGCAAGTCTTATTTAAAATTCCGAAAATATGGTGATTTACCTTCAAATATATGGAGAACCGAAACACTTCCTTCAGATATTATCCTGTCTTAGTTAAAATAACTAACAATGACGTTTGTACTGAGAGAGCTTCAGCCTTCATGTTCCAATGTGAATGAAGCTTAAATCTAAGAAAGCACTTAGAAATATTTTCTGGGGAAAAAAAAAGAATATTTTTAGGAAAATCTGGGAAATAAAGCTTTTCTTAGAAAGGTCAAGTAAATATGACAGTGCTTGCTATGCATTTCTAATAATCACCTGACTTAAGATAGCTTTTAGGTGTGATACAAAGTGCTAAATAACCAGTTTGATGGAACTTACTGGTACCTGTGGTTGTTTTTAGAATCATGTGAAGAGTTTGAAATTTAATTGCAGAATATTGACCCGGATTCAGAAATTGCTGAGATGTGTGATACCATTTGTCCGTATAAGTCTCAGTGTTGACTGTGCAAATGAAACTTGTCATATTACATACACATCAATATTTATATAAAGGTTGCTTTTTAAGAACCAAACCCTATAGAAATGCAACCTTTTATAAGATATTAACAAGGTTGTAATACAAAATTTAGACAACCAGCATTGGAAATGTGTATTATAGTTTCTAAGAGGAAACAAACTGAGTTGGTTGGGAAGTGGCCATTTGATGTATGGGTAGACACCCTTAGTCTCTGATTAGGCTCTGAGGCTATGGTAGTAGAGTATAATGAGCAGTGATGAAAATAACTAAATCATTGAGAAATAGTCAAAGTGTATTCAGTACATTCTACTTAAGAAAACAAATAGGAAGCTTCTGGTTAAACCATGTGGATTCAGTACTCATGTACTTTATCCAGGTATTGAGTACCAATAACCTACTCAAATAATAGTTAAAGAACAAAAAAGGATATAACCTTCCAAGGATAAAGACAAGAGAAGAAAAGCCTGCAGATAAGAGGTATCCATAAAATTTTAGGAGATAAAAAGCAGATGGATGAGGGGTAACTGTCGGGTTTGAGCTTCTCCTGTTCCAGTAGGGGAAAAGCAAGAAGAAGCAAGCCAATTGAAGATCCAGGATTTGAAGCCACATGAAAACAGAAGAGTTGACTGAAAGTCTATGTGGAGGGCACTTACAGCCCTGATCTACTTCTTATGTCATATACCCGGGCAGACATCACTTCTCTATTCTAGTAGAAGAGTGCCATTTATAGAGAAAAATGGAAAGGAAGGAATTATCAGAGAAATAATAAAAGTTTCCTAGAACTGAAGTTCATGCATTTTCTTAAAATTTTTTAAAATGTTCATTATTGAGAGAGAGAGATGGAGAGAAAGAGAGACAGAGAGAGAGAATATCCCAACCATGCTTCCTGCTGCCAGTACAGAGCCTGACGTGAGGGGTCGAACATGAACCATGAGATCATTACCTGAGCAGAAACCAAGAGTCAGATGCTTAACTGACTGAGCTACTCAGGCACCTCTGCATTTTCTTGATTAAAAGGTTTGACATAGTGCCCAGCACAGTGAAAAAGCAAAGACAGGTCATGAGATTTCATAAAAATGGGGATAACTGAAATTCCCTCAATTTCTCTTGAAAGGGGAAAATTATATTTTATAAAATATATCTAACATTAGAATATTATCCAATTCTCAGCAGCAACATTAGAAGCTGTGCACAATGCTGTTGAAATGCTGAGAGAAAATAATTTCCAATCTAGAATTCTCTACCCATCCAAATAATTGATCTAGAGTGAAGATAGAAAAAGAAAATTTTATATGTGCAAGTTCTCACCAAATCTGTCATCCATGATCACTTTTTCAAGAACGTAACAGAAGATGTGTACCTTCAAAAAAAGGGAGGGTGAGGCCATGGATGGAGAAGACATGATATAGAAGGTAGGCAGAAGAGTTCCCAGGATGACCCTACAAAGAACTCCTAGTTGGTGGCTCTGTATCAGGCCTGGCCAGAAGTTGACGGGTGACAAGCAGGCTGTTTCTAGGAGTAGAATGGGTTGATAAGTTACCTGATATGTCTGGCCGTTGAAGAGGAGTTATAGATAATATTTCAGACAATGAGAAAGATGTAAGTGCTCAATACATGGGAAAATAAGCAAGCAAAGAAACAATGCAAAAAAAAAGGTCTCAAAAAATTAAAAATGGAGCAAGAAAGAAAATGTAATTGTAGTGGTACAGCTGTGAACAATATTTACAGAGTCATCATGTAAACACTAATTACCAATTTAACCAAAAACTGGTGATGTGTATTGGCATGTATTTGGGGCAAAAGAGGTTTTCAAGGTTCTACATAATTTCTAAAGTGAAATAAACCAGGATGTAGCAGTAGAAATATTCCATTCAGAAATACATAGGTAAACAGTAGAAGAAATAGATAAAAGAGTTAAAAATGGTTGCCATGGAGGTGGGGAGAGAGGGAGAAAGTAACTGCTCTGTTTTTTGAAATAGGCCTTTGTAGTTGCTACTTGAACTTGAAAGTTAAGTTCATATAATACTTCTAAAATTGTTTTTAACTAATTTTAAAAGGTAGGAAAGCAAATAATAAGGTTTTATGTAGTTTTCCATCAAACACCTTTGAGGTCTCTCCTCAGTTCGGCAGAAGACCTTATTCCATAACAACATCTGTACGTGTCTACTCCCTTCCATGTTTAGGAAAGGTGCGTAAGTTGTACCAGTTGCATTGGTGCCTTATTCCTTTTATAGTTTTCTCTCCTTCATTAAATTTAATAATACAACATCATTGTAAAAAGCTGAAAAATGGCTTAGTGCCCTTTGGGATTTCATATCAACCAAGAGCAGTTTCTAGGACCGTCTTTGCCATTCCTTAGGTTTATAGATGCTTCTCTAAGACTGAATGATGACACAGAAAGCTTTGTTAATAATTAGCCCTTCTGCTTTGCAGGGCGGGGAGCACTGTTACTACCACGGAAGCATCCGAGGTGTCAAGGACTCCAGAGCAGCTCTCTCGACCTGCAACGGACTTCAGTACGTGGGATTCTCAATGGGAGAGTGAACTTGCTTTCATCCGTTCACTGTTTCCATCTTTTCTTTCACAGATGTTTGTTGTAGTGAACCTTCTGGGCCGGTCCCATGTTCTTTTAACATTCAAAGTTTGCAGGAGATTCAGAGATTAAACAAGTAATTACACAGATTAATATTTAATTGCCATTTTGGTAATTGGAGCTGTGAAGGGGAGTGTCAGGGACTTATGAGGTGACCAAACCTAGTCCAGGAAGGTTGCCCAGAAGTGTCTGCCAGAGGACATAGCAGTCAGGCTGGTATTGGTCAGGTGAGGCTGGGGGACAAAGAGAGAAGCTCATACATTGACTTCAAGGCAGTCTCTAGAAAAACCTCTTTAAGCACTTTTTGGATGCAAATAGTAACACCTGATTTTAAGGATCTAGTTGTGGCCATGTGATGAAAAAGATCTTGAAAATCTTATCTTGCTATATCTCTCAAAATTAAATGCAACACAGAGTCATACTGCTTAATGGAAATTCCCAATTTGCGGCCATCAATATACTTCTGTTTGCCTCTTCAAAATCAGATGGTTTTTTTTTTAAGGTTTTTAAAAATGTTTATTTATTTTGAGGGAGAGAGAGAGGGAGAGAGAGGTGCAAAGAGAGAGGGAGAAAGAATCCCAAGCAGGCTCTGTGCTGTCTGCAGGGAGCCCGACGTAGGGCTCAATCACATGAACTGTGAGATCATGACATGAGCCGAAATAAAGAGCTGGACCCTTAACTGGTCTAGCCACCTAAGTGCCCCAGAATCAGAGTGTTTTAGATTATTCTAATGTATAAAGTACCTATTTTCTTATAGATGATATTGGATTTGTGTAGCAAGAAATTTGTCCTACTTGTACATTGTCTTGGAATTATAATTTGACATACTGGAACTGTACAAATAGTCCCATTCCAGATTAATCCTCTGATCTGTCCGTTTTGTTTCAAAACTTAATTATAATATTTATACTATGTATGTTTGTGGTATACACTTTAATACTTCTTGTAGCCTGTCTGCTGTCTAGTAAAGTGCTGAGACCACAGTGAGATTCCATACAGGTATATAAATTAGATTTGGAGCAATATAAAAAGATATTTGTTCATATATACTCTTCATTTTTAAAGATGCACTATGAAGCTCATTTGCTGTTTCTTGCTGTTTGCTATATTTAATTTTCTCCTTGTGTGATTTCTTGCCTTGCAGTGGTATGTTTGAAGATAATACCTTTGTATATATGATAGAACCACTGGAGCTGACTCATGATGAAGTAAGTCTGTGACCTTCGTTTCCTTACGGTATTTTATTCTTTTAGCATCTTTGCCTTTGAGCCATGAAGAATGTAATGTGGATGTCAGTGTGCACTTCTATGTAACACATTATTTCAAATGGAGAATGACACCATGAGTTTTAAAGTTTAAATTGCACGTCCCAGGTATGTTGAGGAGCTGGTGCTGGTGTATCAAATTTAGAATATGCAGATTATGACCTGCTGACTGGGAGAACACAAGTCACCTAGATGGGCTCAGCAGGGGACTCCCTTAGCATCCAAACTCCCACTTCAGGAAAGTGAAATCCATGGTTGTTTGGATTGATGGTGCTCTTCCAATCCACTCACACAGGGGAAGTAAAGTCATAAGATTTATCACATACGGATCCTGGAATCTAGGTTGGAGGGTCAGTAAGCCAGTCCTCCATCCCAAGTCACAGGTGAGCAAGAGATAGGATAGCAAGCATCTATTACTTTTGAGGTGGTTGGAGTAGAGTCCCTAACTTTTAGCAGACTTAATTCCAAGTGGTTATTTTAAAGGTGCCCTCAGAAATGCAAAGCGGGAACTGAGAATGGGAATCCTAAACTCAAGTTCTTATCTACATGTCCAGACTCTGGGTGTCAGCAGGGTTATTATGCTGTGAAATGCCTAGGCAGCAGCTCAGAAAAACAAAAGTTGCTTTTCTTATCAAACAGGCCACATACCAGTAAGAGAGGATAAGAGGCAACAAATCTAGGGTTTTTGGAAGTGGAGGCAGTTCTTTCCAGTCTATAGAGCAGAGAGGAGATTTTGTTTTGTATAGACCAACTACTTTTCCTTTAAACTAGCTTTTATTCTCACTGCTTCTTTAGATAATTGTATAATCATATACTTAACTTTTATGAGTCTAAGGATCGTCAGTGAGGAAATTTGGAGTTGAATGAGTTTATATGATTATATTAGATAGTATTTAGTTTTCTTTAGAGTTAGGGGAAAAAAATGATGCCTAGAATCATACACAGGCCAGCAACCTAGATAGGAAACCATGAGGGCATTATGCTAAGTGAAATAAGTCAGACAGAGAAAGACAGATCTTGCTTATATGTGGAATCTAAAAATACTGAACTCAGAAACCGAGAACAGACCCATGGTTACCAGAAGCCAATGGGGGAAATGGGAGAAAGTGGTCAAAAGTTACAAACTTCCAGTTAGAATATAGATGAACTCTGAGATGTAATGTACAACTTGGTGACTAGAGTACATTTGTATATTTGAAAGTTGTTAAGACATTAGATCTTAAAAGCCCTCATTACAAGAAAAAAAAATTGTAATTGTGACATAATAGATATTAACCACACTTATTGTGGAGATTATTTTGCAATATATACGTATAGCAGATCATTATATTGTAGAGCTTAAACTTATACAATATTATGTGTCCATTTTGTCTTAATAAAATTGGGAAAAAAGAAATCTTATACTCTAAGAGTGTTGCTCACTAATAGAATATAAACAAATCTGAAATTTGATCTATATTTGTTAGGTATTGTAATGAGGGCTTACTACATGCTGGCACTATTTTAGGTGCTGTGGTTAAAGTAGTGAGCAAAACAGACAAAGAGCCTGGGGCTCATGGAGTTTATAGTCTACAGGGGCAGACAGGGCTAAACAGGGACTGAGCCACCCAGGCGCCCCTGAGAAAATAATATTTTGAGAGTGATTGAGTCAGAATATTGCAGTCATTTGATGGGGAGCAGAAAACATTTTTTTGTCTTTAGAGATTTCACATGTAGATAAAATAAATTTTGAAACAGGTACTAGTCATTTAGACTGTTGATAATCACAGTTGCCCAAACACTTATTTTCTTTGTTGTGCGATGTATATATAAATCTCTTGTTTAAAAAAGCCACATTTGAGGCAGAAATGCCATTAAATTTTAAATGTTTAAACATGATTGCTTAAACCTTATCATTTTTCAAATAGTAAATATAAAAATTACTGGATAACAAAGACACTTACCACCTACCCCCGACCCGATAAAGCCATTTTGACTAAATAAAATGTTTTTCCCCTACTCTAGTGGTGGGTAAATAACTTGTATACAGCAAGTTTATTTGACTCGGTCAGCAAAACATTGGCTTTGATTTCTTGCATTGATTAATGGTCCGGTTACCCTAAAAAAAACCCCCAAAGAACAAAACAAAAAAACGAAAATAACAACTCCCTAGGCCTCAGAAGTTTTAAAAATGTAAAATCAGATAATTTTTCAGGGCATCCTAATTGGTCAGTTTTGCAGGTTTGATGAATTAATAAATGTATGTGACTATGTTTAATAAACTGCTGAAAAGATTTATAAGCAAATTGTTATTTTCATAGTATTTTAACTACTGGTTTTACGTTGTTCTACCCCTAATCACATTCTTCAGGGGCTGATTGTTACAGATTAATGCCTTTTCCCTTTTGCTTTCCTCCTTATTGCCTACCTTCTGTTCACAATCTGTCCTTGTCTTCACATGGGGAGATGGAAAAGAACAGTGCTTGAAACTTTTAAGTCAGTCAGTTTTTAAAATTGCGCTGCTAATCCAATTGTGAGTTTCATTGCTCTAGGTATCATTTCACCTGTTACCAGAATTAAGAATCTACTGATCTGGAATTTAGATTTTCTGATGTTTAGTTTATTATTATTGGTTTTAGTATGCTTTACAATAAGTCAAATAATATGCACGGGGTGTTTCTAGTGAGAATTCATGTTCTCTCTCAAGTTATGAAAAACAAAACTCTTAATTATTGTGAATCTTTTATGTAATCTATTAAGGAAATCTGGAAAGCAAAATAAGCCAATACTTAACTACATGATAATTATCCATTATCCCACCCCCGAGAGAAAATTTCTCTTCACCTTTCAATACATTCATCCAGTTTTTCAATGATATGTTCTCATATATTTTTAAAATAAATTGGATCACTATTCTGTAATATAATTTTAGCTCAATGATGTATCTCTCTGAGCCGCAATATTTTTTATTTGTAAAATAAAGGTAAAATATGCGTTATATAAGTCTCTTGTGAGGATTAAATCAAGTACTGTGTACATTAACAGTGTCTCGTATATACTATGTACTCAGTAATGGAAGCTAATAGTAATGGAAATAAGTAAGATGCTTTTAAAAGTGTAGTTACTAGGGCAAAGGATATGAATATTTTCAAGGTCATTGTAGACATTGGTAAAGTTCTCTTTGAACTATGCTCCCAATTTATTTCCATCAGCAGAGTATGAGAGTGCTTTTTAACTTGCAACCATAATTAACTATGGTTATCATAATTTTAAAACCTTTGCCAACTTGACGGCAAAAATTGGTATGTCTTTTTTTAAATTTGCATTTTGAAGGGGTATTAAGGCATTCATTATTTTTTTATATATTCATTGAACATTTGTGATTCTTTTTTGTGAATTTCTTATTCATGGCTTTGAAGAAAACTAAAGTTTAAAAGTAGCTAATAAAACTATGCTTTTATCTACACTGGAACAATTGGATGGTGCTCTATTTTATTTAAAATTAAAGTTTCAATAAGACATACTTTTCATTTTTGATAGCTAAAATATTAGCATATAAATGTTCCCATTTTAGGAAAGATATTGGAGAAAGTTCTAACTCTATTCCATAGAAGCTTGGTCACGTCTTGCTTTTTAATTGCCTATGATTGTTTTTGTTTCAGAAAAGCACAGGTCGACCACATATAATCCAGAAAACCTTGGCAGGACGATATTCTAAGCAAATGAAGAATCTCAGTAAGTTCTCATTAAGATAGCCATTTTATATGGAGTAATAGGAGCCGTGACTTGGTGGAGCTTGGTGAATATGCAGGCTCAGTGGGAGGTGGAATTGCTTAGTGTGGGTGGGCAGTGCTGTTAACTGTGGCTGGCGTGTACTGAGGCGTAGAGAGTCATTGCTGATGGAAACACCAAAATATGAAGACCAGGAGTGAAGCTCTGTTAGGAACCAGAGAGTGTGGCTAAATTGAATGGTGATCTGCAATGAGGTACATCCTTATGGGTCCTCAGCAGTTTACCGCTCTTTAGCCAGTTTGTATTGTCTCTCTCTTACTCTCTGGTCCTGAGGCATCTTAAGCATGCTGATGTTGACAAAAGCTTCTTTTGGATTATTGGGGTATGTGATATTACTTCTGTGTATTAATGCCAAAAGTCTTTAATAGTGTATGCAAAATCTTATGCCACACATTATTTTTAATTCTAAAGTGAATTGAGCATGGTGAAATTCTCTTGAATTTTCAGATATTGAGGGTCAGGTGATTGTAGGTCAAATATACATATTCTAATGAGTCTTGAACAGTTCATTACATTTTGGATGACTTTTGGAAGAAAATGATATTTGCATTATAAGTTATTTGTGGCTTATAAATGGAATTAGATTTGGATAAATCTAAATTAGATAAATGGAATTGTGACCATGAGAATGTGAAATGTTTAATGATTGGTATACTTTTTTCACCTTAGTTTATTTTGATTTTGAGATGACGTGTGCAATCAATGTTGCTATTTCTTCACATAGTATTTTTAATTTAATTTAATTTTTTTCATCATGGTAAGTGTACTGTTTAATCTCCATAACCTATTTTCAACCATTCACCCCACCCACCTCCCCTCTGGTAACCATCAGTTTGTTCTCTATAGTTAAGAGTTTCTTGGTTAGTCTCATTTTCTCTTTTTTTCCCTTTGTTCATTTGTTTCTTAAATTCCACTTATGTGTGAAATCAAATGGTATTTGTCTTTCTCTGACTGACTTATTTTGCTTAGCATTATACTCTCTAGCTCCGTCCACGTTGTTGTAAATGGCAAGATTTCATTCATTTTTGTGGCTGAGGGATATTCTCTTGTACATATACACCATATCTTCTTCATCCATTCATCTATTTGGTGGACACCTTGACTCTTTCCATACTTTGGCTGTTGTAAATAATGCTGCAATAAACATAGGGATGCATGTATCCTTTTGTATTAATGTTTTTGTAGTTTTAAGGTAAATACCCATAGTGCTATTGCTGGATTGTAAGGTAGTTCTGTTTTTAACTTTTTGAGGAATCTTCATATTGTTTTCCACAGTGGCTGCACTAGTTTGCATTCCCACCAGTAGTGCAGAAGGGTTCCTTTTTCTCTGCATCCTTGCCAACACTTGCTGTTTCTTGTGTTGTTGATTTTTAGCCATTCTGACAAGTGTGAGGTCGTATCTCATTGTAGTTTGGATTTGCATTTCCCTGATGATGAGTGATATTGAGCATATTTTCATGTGTCTGTTGGCCATCTGGATGCATTCTTTGCAGGAATGTCTGTTTATATCTTCTTCCCACTTTTAATTGGATTATTTGTTTTGGAGGAGTTGAGTTGTATCAGTTCTTTATATATTTTGGATACTAACCCTTTATCGGATGTCATTTGCAAATATCTTCTCCCATTCAGTAAGTTGCCCTTTAGTTTTGTTGATTTTCTCCTTTGCTGTGCAGAAACATATTATTTTGATATAGTCCCAATAGTTTATTTTTGCTTTTGTTTCCCATGTCTCAGGAGACATAGCTAGAAAGATGTTGCTCTGGCTGATGTCAGAGAATTACTGCCTATGCTGTCTTCAAGGATTTTTATTGTTTCAGGTTTCACATTTAGGTCTTTAATCCATTTTGAGTTTATTTTTTGTGTGGGCAAAGAAAACGGTCCAGTTTCATTCTTCCAACATGTAGTTGTTGTTGAGAGACTGTCTTTTTTCCATTGTATATTCATTCCTCCTTTGTTGAAGATTAATTTACCATATAATTGTGGGTTTATTTCTGGGTTTTCTATTCTACTCCATTGATCTATGTGTCTATTTCCATGCCAGTACCATACTGTTTTAATTACTACCACATTGTAATATAACTTGAAGTCTGGAATTGTGATATCTTGAGTTTTGTTTTTCAATATTGCTTTGGCTGTTTGGGGTCTTTTGTGATTCCATATAAATTTTAGATTGGTTGTTTCTAGTTCTGTGAAAAATCCTCTGGTATTTTGATAGGGATTGCACTAAATCTGTAGATTACTTTGGGTAGTGTAGACATTTTAACAGTATTTGTTCTTCCAACCCATGAGCATGGAATGTCTTTCCATTTCTTTGCATCGTCTTGAATTTCTTTCATCAATGTTTTATAGACTTCAGAGTACAAGTCTTTCACTACTTTGGTTGAGTTTATTCCTAGATATTTTATTGTTTTTGATGCAGTTGTAAATAGGATTATTTTCTTAATTTCGCTTTCTTCTACTTCATTATTAGTGTATAGAAATGCAACAGATTCCTGTACATTGATTGTGTATCCTGTGACTTTACTGAATTCATTTATCAGGTTTTTGGTGGTCATGAAGGTTTTCTATATATAGTATCATCTCATCTGCAAATAGTGACAGTTTTACTATTTCCTTACCAATATGGATGCCTTTTACTTCTTTATGTTGTCTAATTGCTGAGGCTAGGACTTCCAGTACTATGTTCAATAAAAGTGGTGAGAGTGGACATCCTTGTCTTTTTCCTGACCTTAGGAGAAAAGCTCTGTTTTCCATCATTGAGTATGATGTTGGCTGTGGGTTTTTCATTTATGGCCTGGCCTTTATTATGTTGAGCTATGTTCCTTCTAGACCTACTTTGCAAAGGGTGTTTTATCATGGATGGATGTTGTAGTTTGTCAAATGCTTTTTCTGCATTTATTGAAATGATCATATGGTTTTACGCTTTCTCTTATTGATGTAATGTATCATGTTGATTGTCTTGTGAATGTTGAACAGCACTGGCATCCTGGAAAGAAATCCCACTGGAATGTGGTGTATGATTTTTTTTAATGTATTGTTGGATTCAGTTTGTTAATATTTTGTTGAGGATTTTTGCATCTACATTCATCAGGAATATTGGCCTGTAGTTCTCTTCTTTTGTGGTGTCTTTATCTAGTTTTGGTATAAGGTGATACTATCCTCATAGAATGAATTTGGAAATTTACTTTCCTTTTATGTTTTTTGAAATAGTTGTTTGAGAAGACTAGGTACTAACTCTTCTTTAGATGGTAGAATTCATCTGTGAAGCCATCTGGTCCTGGACTTTAGTTTTGAGGAATTTTTTGATTTCTGATTCAATTTCATTGCTGGTAGCTGGTCTGTTCAAATTTTTTATTTCTTTCTGCTTTAGTTTTGGCACCTTCACGTAATATTTTAAGAACATACTCCCGTTGAACTGCAGTCAAGTATAAATTTTGGTATTCCTTTTTTCTTTCACACAGGTATGGAAAGCAGTGACCAGTGGCCCTTTCTATCTGAATTACAGTGGTTGAAAAGGAGAAGAAAGAGAGCAGTGAATGTGAGTGTGGCATTGACCCACAGACAGGCCATTCACTCAGTTAAACTGTGTGCCCGAAATCACATAGTATCTGAGTGTATCTAAAGCAGTTTAGATTTGGGCAACTTCTTCATAAACAAAAACAACAAACCAGACTCCTCCTGTGATTTGAGTCTTATAGGCGTATTGCTTTTTATTCAACTTTTCCCATGAGTGATGTAAACTGATTCTAGTGTCCTATGAACGCTGATAGAGTATGTTGTATTAGCTTCATCTACAAAGCATCTTCAGACAAAAATTGCAGTGTATTTTTTCTATTAAAAGTACAGCAGACTTTTTCTCACGTGGCTTACCTAACATCATTTGAAATATTTTTATAAACAAAAAACGTAAGGGGAAACATTAGATTTTGAAGTGTTGGCTAATTATGCTTATTTGTATTCCTTTCAATTTAAAAGTTCTGTTACACCAACATTTGAAGCTGGATGTGTTATTCTAAGGATCTGTTTGACCATTCGTATCCTGACACTTACTAAATAAGAATCATGTAATTATAATCAACAACAATCATATAGCTTACATGTATTGATAAATGTATAGGAGCTTTGTCACTGAAATTATGTTCCTAGTCTTTTTCATAATAGATTAGAAAGCTGTAATGATGGGGACTGTTTCATAATTACATGGTGAATGCTATGTAACCGAGAATTAATTCCACAGCATATAGATTACATGGTAATTTACGAGATAACTTAATGAGTAATTATACTGAAAATTGCACATTTTAGATAATGTTTTGCTGAATGTATTTTTTGTGAAAAAAATTAGACTACCAGCCATCAGAAACTTAGTTACAGGTTAAATCATCCTCTCCTTTATGAGTCTTTCTTCATATGATGGTGATTATGGATACAATTTTTGTTTTTTCACTTAGAGATTTTTTGTTGTTGTTTTGCTTACTCTTAAAGATGTGGTTAGTAATAAGTTTTATACAGGCTACTGACATTTCATGACAGTCCACTGTTATCAAATGACCTTGTACATTACAAAAAAAGAGCCATTATTGATTTTCCAGGTATGAAAAAAGAAAGCCCAAATCATGGCTAAAATGTTTAGCACTTGCTTTTAAAATTATCTAGTAATAATAAAAATTTAGAAGAATTTGGAAAATAGTAATTGTCAATGTTTGTTCCTTTGGGAAGTTGTATGGTTAAGATGTAGTACATTATTATTACAGTTTCACTCCACTGAGTTAATGTCTCTTTTGGCTATACATATATATTTTAATTAGTTAATTAATTAAACTTGAGAGAAAGCATGTGTGTGTAAGTGACGAAAGAGCAGAGAAAAAGGGAGAGAGAGAATCCCAAGCAGGCCCGATGCCATCAGCACAGAGCTTGACATGGGACCTGAACCCACAAACCAATGGATCATGACCTGAACTGAAACCAAGAGTCAGATGCTTGGGTCCTTCTTTTGACTATATTGACAGCTGTTGCACATGTACTGTGCTATTCTTATTAAGTGAATTTTAAGTAGATTTTCTTTGAAGTTTGAAGTAGATAAGAATCTTTTTCATCACATTTTAATGTCAAAGAAATTGAGATTATGTATTTTAGCAGAATTATACAATGCATTTTTCTCTAGAATATTTGTACATATGAAAATCACATAAAAATAACATGGGCCGGTCTGTATCTTGATGAGTATCTTAATGATAATTAAATACGATTCTTTTCTGAATATTTGAATGTTTGCCCACACTTTACATGTAGGTACTTTCTTTGATCTCCTCACCAAGTTTCTTCCAGAGTGTTTTCAAGTAGGCAGGAAGGGGTTCTTTGGAAATTCGAAGTTAATCTCCAAGAGTTAGCATGAGACATATGTCTGACCACTCTGACCATATATGTTTATTTTCCACAGCCATCTCGTGGTGTGTTTGAAGAAATGAAATATTTGGAACTTATGATTGTTAATGATCACAAAACGGTAAGAATATAAAGAATCAGTGAGTTTTAAACCTGGCAGCTTGCTTAAGAAAGAATAATTTCATTTTATATTTAAAAATTATTTGTTACTTATTAAGGCCAATATATTTAGATGCTTTATTTCTTTGGAACTATTGGATGACTTGATTTATTACATGGTGTTTGGAAACGGTGGTGGGTTTTATAGAATTTTCACTACTCTAAGCTTTCCTTTTATTTAGTGATTTTCATTATTAAATTCAATTATTTGATGTCTTTTCACATCTTCATTTAAAATTTTTATCCTCTACTTTTCTTCATCTATCTATCTGGCCTCTACTTTCTAGTTTTACTGCATGTCTTCATTCTGCTAACATTTTTTTTCTTACTAATTATGACTTGTGGCAAAAATAGTTATAGGAGATAAACACGTATAGTAAAGGCATATCCAAAGAAACTATCTTTGATGATTTATCTTCCTTAAATTTTAGAAAGATGAATAATATTGTGTTACTTATGTCAAAGTAAAATGTGAGTTAGTGTGTCATCTCAGTAACACTTAAGAGACGTGAATAATAATTGTTGCCTCCTTTGGCCCTTCTTGAAAATAGAGTAGAAACATTCTTAACCATATTTTACTTAGTCATGTCCCTTACTAAATAGGTTGGCTAAAGCCTAGAGTCTTACCAATACTTGGGGTCTACTGATAAATGTTGAACACCCAACTCTCTGGGAAGAAACACCTTGATTTCTGTGGTGTAAATACACCCATCGTGGCTGATTTCAAGCTACCAAAGTGAGGTCACTAAGTAAAGAGTTGGGGAAAGTTGCATCCAACTGGCTTTCATGAACTGTTGAGAGGGTGGTCCTAGCACCCCGTGGCCACATTCCCCAGGCTGTGTAGGCCAGTTGTAATTTTTGTTGTAATTACATAATTTAATTAAAAAATTGTATAAACTAAGACAAAGAGTACTTGCTTTAATGAAAACTCAGTTACATTCTGGAAAGATGAGAATCTTTAAGAAATACTTGAAAGTCAGGTATGGGTGAAACATTTGTAAAAGATTGTAACAAAAATTCAGGCTGCCTTGCATACATCATTAAGTCATTTAAAAATTTTTTAACATTTATTTTTGAAAGACAGAGAGAGACAGAATACTAGTCGGGGAAGGGCAGAGAGAGAGAGGGAGACACAGAATCTGAAGCAGGCTTCAGGTTCTGAGTTTTCAGCACAGAGCCTGATGTGAGGCTTGAACCCATGAACTGTGAGATCATGACCTGAGCTGAAGTTGGACACTTAACTGACTGAGCCACCCAGGTGCCCCAAGTGCTTGTTTTACTTTAAGAAGACCAAATTAGATTCACAGACTATAGGGTAAAATGACAACATGAAATTCAAGGCTACTCAGAAAAAGCCTTGAAACCATATATTTAAAAATGTGGTGACTTTATTTTTAAACTTTTATTTGAGTCTCTACTTCAGTAGACACTTTCTATTAAATGGCCAAGTGCTAGTTCAATTATGTTAAATATTATTCAGTGGAGTACCTCTTCATTTTATATGCAGATTTATTTTATTTACCATGTGGCTTTTATGTATATTGCTTGGCATATGCTAGAAGAAGCAGAGTTTATCAGAATTACATACAATTTAGCAGAGATCTTCTCTGGTAGGAAGGAAAACCAAATGTGTAGACAGCCATTTTAGCTAATGAAGGCTAAAAAAGGAGTTTCAGAAGGACATTAATTTTCTTGAAACCCCAAGATAATTTTTCATCTGAACTATTTTGGTTGATTGGCACAATGAGTTTTTATCCAGCTACTTCTCAGTCCTTAGCACTGTGGCTCGTTGTGAAATTATGGCTTTCAACACTTAGGCTTTTTCTAATATCCATTAAATAAACATTTTAAAGTAGCAGAAGCAATAATTAAGAAACATGCAATGCTTTTAAATTCACAAAGTGCATTCACGTATAGCTGGGAATTGAAAGAACAATTCTCCAAGCCATTACCTGCAATTACACAGTCCCTGTCCCACCATACTCTATTGGGAAGGTACATAAAGTTATCAATCAAGGAGTAGATAGCATTAACTGTTTATATAGAAAAATATAATTTTTAAAATTTATATACTTTGAATTTATTTTTTAATCCTTTTAAATGGAAGCATGTAAATAGTCTTGCTTTATCTTATGAGTGATACAATAGCACCCTCCCATTAAAATACCATTTTCATAAATAGAGATTTTCTGCACATTATACTATATATTCTATGATAAAGTTAACTTGTTTATGCTACCAATTTGTTAATGGTAAACATTAGTAATTATTTTATTATTAAAATTGAGTGAGAACTAGGCATGATATGCTCACCTATCTTTGAATCTAGAATAAAAGAACTATAATTTGCACTGATAAATATGGAGGGAATGCATAGTAAGAAACGAAAAAAAGTTTTTCTTTTTAAGTAGTTGTTGACTTTGATTGCCACAAAGAAGTAGTAAATCAGAATGTGGATCAGAGTACTGAAATTCATGTTTTGAAAGTAAAACTGAACTAGAATACTTAACATCTATTTTTTTAATATCTGAAGATTTGCTATCGGGTTTTAGAATGATCATCCCTGAAATTACTCATTTTACAATCTTTGTGCTATTTGAAGCAGCACTACTGTTGTGATAACCTTCACCCTTGGGTTGAAAATCAAGCTCTAATTTTAATTTTTTTTTCAAAAAGCAAATTTCTTAAGTGTTGTAATTGTTCAGGAAGGAAAAGTAAATTTGGCACTTTAAATGTAAATTATTTTCAGTGATCACAAAATGTGAAAGTAAGTTTTATCATAAATGGAGATTGCACAATTTCTTTGTATGCAAAATTAGTTCTCATTCATGCAGGAAAGAGAAACGTTTTGCCTATATTCACATTCAAGCTAACCTCTTTAATTCAGAGTAACCTAATATTGACTTACTGAAAAAATGCAGACACCTTACTTTGAACAAGCTATCATGTTTTCAGTGGCTTTCAATTAGAAAAGAAAAATCCCTCAATTTTGTAGAAAGCATCTTAGTAGCTGCCTGGTGGAACCTAATTTATGGGCCAATTATATAGCCTTGATAAGGGTCCGCAAACATTTCTTTGAGCCGCTTGGGCTAAATATAAATATGAAAAACCTAATTCTAATAGAAAGTTAGTTGAAATATCTTAAAGTGCACAAAAAAATGTCTTGCTTACATTTTTGCTGTCTCCTTACATATAAGTCAAAGAGTGCAAGTATGTTATAACTCAGACATTTTTCAATTTAAACTTCAGTTTAAACCTTATTTAAAAACCACCATATTTTATGGGCACCTAACCAATTATAAGTTCTCATTGATAATCATGACTTATTGGGAATATACATAAACTATTTTATAAGAATTGTTAATGGAAAAGGTTTATCTCCTGTCTGAACCCAGAGTAGGCATTGAGTAACAGCTCTGTGGCCTTGAATAAGTTCTTTGTCCTCTCTGAACCTCACTTTCCATATTTCTAAAATGGGGCTAACAAAATCCACCTCATGGAGTTGTGAGGAACATGTATTTGTTGTAGGAGAAACTCTTAGAGACCCTAGTAAATCCTAGCTGCTCCGGTAAATGGCACTTTCGGTGAACCAATCTAGTGGGTACTGCTCGCTGTCATCATTCATCTCTCGCAGCAGCTGTGGATGCGGCTGACCACGTTCTCCTATTTGAAACATTTTCTTCATCTCTCAGCTTCTGTGATGCTACAGCTTTCCCACCTCACTGGTTATTTCTTCTTAGTCTTTTGTATCTGACCTCTAGACTTTTGCGAGTACCCGTAACTTGGTTTTGGGCTTTCTTTTCTTTCTATAACTCCCCCAAGATGCCCACTTCTGGTCTCATCCTTTAAATAACATCATGACTTTAAATTTGACCCTCTCTACTTTTTGCTTCTAGCCTCCTGAATCCATACTTATGTCTCCAGCTGTCTACTTGCATACCTACTTCAATACTGAATAGGCATCTCTAACGTTTCTGAATCACAACTATGGTTCCTTAGTCCTAAGCTTCTCTTCCCCTAGTCTTTCTCATTATTTTAAGTGGCACCACTGTTCCCCCAGCCATCCAAGTTCAAAACCTAGGAGTCATCGGTTATTCTTCTCTTCATCAGCAAGTCGTGGGAACCCTGCCTTCATAGTGTGTCTACCTACTTCTCCCTACAGATACCCAGCCTTCCTTACCTCTTACCTGGACTATTTCCAGCAGATCCCTATGCTTCCATACTGGACCCTCTCTAATTCACTTACCCCACAGTGGGCAGAGTGGGCTTTTGAAAAAGGAAAAGACAGATGTGGAAATTATAAACATGAAATAAGTGAAAAACTTCACATTTTGATAGACTTCAAAAAAGACCTCATTTTGTTAATTTTTTTAACTTGCATGTCATATTTTTGCAGACAGTTATACTAGAAAAAGAAGTCTACAAAATGGAAAAGTTAATATTCAGAAGAAAATAAAGTGAATTGTAATAGGTGCCCAACACCACAGCATTAGATAGGTGTCAGCTAATATTTTTCCATTCTTTTTTGTGATGTGTGCTTCTTCTTACTGAGACTTTTTAACATTTTCATCACCCCAAAGGGACTTAATGTTGAGACTTCTACTTTTACTTCAAAACATGCCTTTGACATTTTTTAGTGCATAGAATTTGCTGGACAACTTAAAATTCTTACCTATTTGCAGCACCTTCTTTATACTAGGTTTGAACATCCTGTTAAAGTGCCTTAAGATGTTTCGATCAATATGATGTTTTATGGCCCAGTTATAGGCACAGATTGATGTTAACTATTAAAGAACACATAAAGACAGCTCAGGGCAGATTAGAATGCACAGTGGCAGCAATAACATAGAGTCTGAGTCCGTTGAGTCCAAGTCCATTCAGGTTGCTGTAACTAAATACCTCAGCCTGGGTGGCTTGTGAATAATGGAAATTAATTCCTCACTGTTCCAGGGACTGAGGAGCCCAAAACTGTGGTGCCAGCATAGTTGTGTTCTGGTGAGGGCGTGCTTCCTGGTTCACAGCACCTTGCTCTGTCCCCATTTCATCTGGTGGAAGGAGCAAGGGAACTCTCTGGAGCTTCCTTTGTGAGGTGGTACTTCCATTTATTAGGATCCGACCTCATACCAAAGCATCTCCCCAAAGCCCCACCTCCTAATACCATCATTTTGAGAGTTAGGATTTCAAACCATGGGTTTGGGGGGATACAATCATTCATACTGTGGCAAGTATTATAAATCTAAATGGTTATAAATTAAAGAATGCTACCTAACCAGTAGCACGGTACTAATATATTGCACATTTTTCGTGGGTTGTCAGTGTATATAGTATAATAAAAATAAGTATCAGGTATGTAAATATGAAGACCTATATTCTTTGTTTAAAAAAACATAGTACCAGGGGTAGAGAGAGAGAATGAAATGAAGGAGCCTGACAAATTTATAGTGTGAAAGTGGGCAAAGGAGACAAATATAAAGACATCATGGGTTTCAAACATAGAAGCATTTGTAATATTTATGAAAGACATGTTATTTTAGTAATTATGATTAAAGACAGATTTTAAAGATTTATGGTGCAAATCTGATTCAGTTGTTTTGAGTATGTTTTCCTTTCTCCTCAGTAGAGGGCATGATACCCCTGTGGTAGATGTCAGTTTTCAAATGCCCTCTCAAAGACCTACTGGGCAGTATTTGCTAAAACCGTAGCCCTCCAGATGTTGTTGCGAAATTATTCTATTCATTGACTTTTGTTGATTTTCTTAAATAATCATAACTAACCATAAACATTCTTAAAAGCTTCATTTGGAGGACTCATTCTTCTGAAAGAATAGACTGAAATCTATGAACAGTACATTCTGTATCATGGCCAGTGTCTAAAATGCTGCCTAGGGAAGTTTCTTGATCTGTGTATGGTCTTGAATTAAAGTGAGAAGGGTCTTGAGTTTAAAGCTTGGCCTAAATTTCTTGGCTAAGCTCTTCCCAAACTGGTAAAGGTGGTTTCAGTGAGAACAAAAGTGTTGCCTTTGTAGACATGAAGACTGTATTAACAACTTATTTCTCAGGGGTAAAGCTTCTCACACAGATTTCTACAGGTGCTCTCCTTCCCTGGAACTGGTAAGGTGTTTTAGATAGAGTTTTGCTGCTTAACAGAGAAGTAAAATAAAACACCACCATATCCAACAGGGCACAAGCTGTGTATTTTTGATCCCTGTTTGTACTATTGCTGTGAGATTTCTGTTTTTACTGAATTTTGAAATTTACCATTAAATTATGATTTGGCAGTGACTAGTTTATCCTTTCCCCCCCCAGTATAAGAAGTATCGCTCTTCTCATGCACACACCAATAACTTTGCAAAGTCTGTGGTCAACCTTGTGGATTCTGTAAGTATCCTGATTTTCTTGAACCTATTTTTTCAAGATGGAATGGTTTATATTTCTACCCGTTTATGTGTTATTTGAATTCTTTCTTGGGCAAAAGTAAAAATGCCATCCTTAAGCTCATCTGGCTAAGAAATTATAGAGTGGAAACTTCACAAAGAGTAGTGTCATCAGAGTTTAGGGGACTGCTGAGTCATTCTCAGCATCCCAGAGATGCTTTAGTGCTGCTTATAAGTGATGTCTAGTCCTCCTTGTCACCAAGCCTACGAAGGACAGAAACACAAGAGAAAATAAACTACTGAAAGAATATAAATTACACTTGGTGAATGAGACTTTGTTGATAATAACCAGTTGAGCTTATTGTCTTAAATATATGGCAAGGGAGCTAGTAGGTTGAGGTGGAGTATGTTTGGAGAATATAGGAAATACGGTTTTAAAAAACCCCTCACATTTACTTTCTTAGTAGTCAATGCTTCAAATTTTGTTCCTAGATGACAGAATTAAGGGCAGTCCCCAAATAAAATTAATTTGAAACTGTAAAATCTATATCTTCTTACAAAGACTTCTAACTATAAATTGTTCATTCAGCATTTTTCCCTCTCATTTTGTAAGTTACAGAGAATCATGATGAAGATTTTCTTCCTTGTTCCTGCTTTAGCTAGAATTCCATAGATGTGAATATTATTTGCTGTGTTCCAAAAACTAGTTCACTTTGGCTAGTCATAGATTAAATATAACATAGTGCTTTGGGTTCCAATGTAAAGGTCTCTTTTATTCAGTTAAATAAATATATTTTTATCTGATATTTATTATATGTCCCCTCTTACCTGGGAAAAGAAGATTTTTTTATGAATTGCCAAATATCTAAATGATACTTGTTTTCTCCAAAGAACTGCCTCCTCTTGCCTTTGAGACGGCTCCCAAACCTTCAGTCATGTAAATACGCATGACATATGACACTTGTAGGGGCAGCTGGGTAAAGGCATAATACAGGTGGATGCACGTAATGGATCATACAGAGTCGGGACTGAAATTCTGAAAGTCGTTTTACACCTGCGTTATTAATTCCTTATAATTTCGACTCTTGTCATCAGGCCTTCTCAGACAAAAACTATGTTAATATGTAAAAGAGAGTATTGAACACACCTTTTTTTGCTGCCAATGTTGTTGACTTGGTCGCATCTTTGTGTTGGTCATTCTAGCGTGATTGAATAGCATCACATCTTGCAAAGTGGGATTTTTATTTGGGGTTCTCATATAAGCTCCTGAAGCTGACCTAAAAAAGACATTACATTTAACTTGCTTGTTGTAAAATCATTAGAGCTTAAGGCTGAGTTAGGTATGATGATATTCCCTTTCTTCAGTAAGTTCAAAGACATCCATTATTTTCTTAATTACCTTGACAACAGGACAAAATGACAGCACTCTTTGAAGTTGCTTAGTTGTATGAATTGTTTAGCTACTGGGCCAAAATGAGAGAAAGGGAGCAGAAAGATACAGTTTAAATATTGTGAATGATGCCACCCTGTGGTGAGGGTGAAGTGGGTGACATGCGTCTGCTTTCCCTATTGTGGCCCAGATCCATGATTCCCTCTGGCTGTTATTCTATGTGTCGTGTCACAGGGCCTCCAAGGGCAAGCCAGCCATGTTGCTGGTGCTTGTCCACAGATTTACCAGTCTGTTCCAGTCCCGCAGGACTCGCTGGTCGTACCGCAGAGCCAGAATGTCAGGCTCCTACATGTTACCTCCTGTGAGGTTCAGAAGAGTGATTTTACTGAACCCTGTTTAGAATTTATGTCCAGGCTTTCGAATCTTGCCATCCCTACTCTCCATCCCCTAGTGAGATGCCTGGCCACTAAATGTGCTGATTTGGGGTTGAAATAGTCTAATAATAGAGAGGCTGAATTGTGTGATTGTTATTTCTTTCTGTATTTTTGCTCTTGGAAATGAGAAAGGAAAGAAGATTCTTTGTGATGAGCTAATTGTGACCTCATGTTCTCCTCTCACCCCTCCTCCTATCCTTCCACTGACTCTGAATCACTGATCGTGCATCTTTGACCCAGTGTTTTCCTCCTGCACCTGTCCTGTTGTGTACCCTCAGATTTACAAGGAGCAGCTTAATACCAGGGTTGTCCTGGTGGCTGTAGAGACGTGGACTGAGAAGGATCATATTGAGATCACCACCAACCCTGTGCAGATGCTCCACGAGTTCTCCAAATACCGGCAGCGTATTAAACAGCATGCTGATGCTGTGCACCTCATCTCGTATGTACCTGTGGTCTTTGGGTTGACATTTATCTTTATCCCTTTATTGTACCAGCTAAGTTTTACATACTGAGCCTGAACTGATTCCTCTCTCTGGTTATATACATAGCAGGGAGGTAAGCCTTCTGGTGCTGGGAAGGCAGTTCCACAGTCATAATATTTACCTTCAGATCATGTTCTTATTTTCACACTTTCCATCTTCCAGGCAAACTCATGATTCAAGGTGGCTGCTGCTGCACCAGCCTTTATTACAGGCACCAGGAATACAGGGAGGGAAGAGTGCAAAAGAGCACTCCTTCCAGCTGAGTTAGCCCCCTTAAAGTGGATATCCTGAAAGCTTGCACATATCAATTGTACCAATAAATCATTTACTAGGCCTTCATCACATGCTACACGTAGCTGCAAGAGAGACTAGAAATATAGTCTTTTGAAGTGAGCCATTGAATAAAATTGAGATTTTATCCTTAAGGGGAAGGATTACCATACTTTCTTTTAGTATCTGGGAGATATTTAACATCTTTTAAGATCTGGGAGATCTTATATGATGGTCACCGCATTGGCTTCCTGATAGCACTTTCTTTTTCTGTAGGCGTGTGACGTTCCACTATAAGAGAAGCAGTCTGAGTTACTTTGGAGGTGTCTGTTCTCGCACAAGGGGAGTTGGTGTGAATGAGGTAAATTTGAACAATTTTCTTAAAGTAGAGCTTTATCTTTGCACTTGATCTCTTTCTTCCCTGTGGCCTAGTTTACAACCCTCTCAGGCTTGTTTAAAATTACAGTGACATCGAGAATAAGGTATAAGTGATTTACATTAGTAAATAGAACCCAACCAAAGTGGTCTTTGGTGTTAGAAGAGAGGTATTGCTTCATCCCATAATGACAGCTTTTCATATTTGTCAGGCAAATGCACGCCAAAGATTAGTTCAGATATTTTTCACCTCTATGGATAAATTTTTATAAGTTTATTACTCCTTTCGTGATAACTTTAAGCTATAATGCTCTGCTGCGGATGTTAGGTTTTAATTCATTTAAATCAAAGAGCTTGCCATTATATTTAATCAGTAGCTTTGGTTTCTCCCAATGTAAAATTTTCATCTTTGTGCCTTCTACCTCTTTATCTGTAGAATTCATCGAAACAAATATTTCCCTAATTTCATTATTTGGATTCCAGTACCTTCATTCATATAAAGGAAATTCTTACAACAGTTGGCGACAGCACCCAAAAAGGCTGAACCAACTATATCTAAACTCTGATAAATGCCAGGATATAACAAGTTATCCCAATAGCCATCATTCAGCAGAGACCTCTCTTGGCGTATTCATAGTCAGTTGAATTTATTCTTGGTTTGGGATGAGTTGGATTGGGGCACAGCCTTTTATGACTTGTAGCTTATGTTTCCATGTGAGAACATCAAGTTCTGAGAGATGCCACATAGTAAGAGAGGCTTTCTGCTTCTTGGGCCCAGTTGCAAGGAAGAAGTGATAAGGAGCATTTGCCACCTTATGATGCTGTGAGGCTCTACTTAGGGCACTGAGATGATATGTGGTGATGACTAAGAAATAATAACTAGCTTTGTGCACTCTCTCAAATGTTTCCCACACACTTTCAACTCTGAAAAACAGTATGGTCTTCCAATGGCAGTGGCACAAGTATTATCGCAGAGCCTGGCTCAAAACCTTGGAATCCAATGGGAACCTTCTAGCAGAAAGCCAAGTATGTACACTGACCTTCTTACTCACTTTCATGTGCCATTCTGTCTATGTAATGCATGTCCAGTCAATAAATAAATATTTTTCATTCCTAAGTCATTAGAGTTTAATTGTAGTCTGTGTCTTTCCTCTAAAAAAAAATGATCAAATGGGCAACTTAAGGTAATTCTTAATCTGTTTGGGTTGTAGATATCTCTCCTTTAAAATTCGCAAAATCATACTCACTTTCTCAGAGTGGGATCAGCTCTTTCTCACACTGCAGAGCGTTGGGGTTGAGGGTGGTGAGTACTCATTCTCTGGGTTCTAAGCAGTGCAGTAGAGACACTAGGTGCCAATAAGACTCCATCAGGGAGTTAATAATAGTACAGTTGGATCGAGGAATAGCTTAGATCTAGTATCAAAAAGGAGCACCAACCCTAATTAAAATTCCCCACCTACCTACCCCCAACGGAACTCAGCCACATGGTCCCATCAGAAAAGTTCAAGAAGAAGCCTCCCCTCCAGGCAGCCCTGCTCTAGGGCCCTTTAAACCTGGGAATAGGTGGTAGAGGATAACACTCTGGTGGGCAGGCAGTGCCAAGAGGGAGCCCAAACAGGGCCATAGATCCCATCTAGTGGGAAAACATAGCCAGTGACTGCTGGTGTCACTCTCTTCATTAATCAGAAGAGAGGAAGATGGAAAGACAGGGCTGAGCTTCCAGTAGCAAAATATCCAAGGCCCACAATGGTTTTAGGAGTCCAGAAAATTTTGAATTTCTTTAAAAATCAGAATAAAATCCAACCTGGATTATATTCCTCTTTAAACCAACAAAGTAGCAAAATACAATTTCTAATACATTTCTGTGCACAAGGCCACAATGCCTAGGGCCCAGGAAAGTTGTAATGCGACCCTGTGGATAAAAGCATCGAGTATTCACTCAGATTATTCTCCTAAGTGGGTCTGCTCCTCTCTGTGAAAATATCAGACGCTAAAAGTAAAGGTCTCCCTGCCCACGTCACCTCCCCAAAGAAGAAAAGGACAAAAATCTGTGTTAACATTATCCTACATTTTATACCTTTTTAAAAAATTTTTATTTTTTAATGTTTATTTTTGAGAGGGAGAGATGGAGCTCAAGCAAGGGCAGAAAGAGAAGGAGACACAGAATCCAAAGCTAGCTGTCAGCACAGAGCCCGATGTAGTGCTCGAACCCACAAGCCATGAGATCATGACCTGAGCTGAAGTCGGAAGCTTAACCAACTAAGCCACCCAGGCGCCCCCATTTTATACTTTTTTGATGACTATCAAATAACTGTCATTAATGCATAATGTTATTAAACTTGAATCAAAATACATACATATCCAGGGGCTTCTTGATTTCCTTTTTGGATGAATTAAATCATCACTTTATGGGTGTATTAAGTCTGGTGGCATTTAGCAAATATCCATGAACTTTCATTTATTAATATCTTGCTCAAAGTATTTGCTTTCCCAAGGAAACACACAGCACACAGTAAAGGAGGTGTTTGGGGTTTCATCAGTGGGATAAATGGCCTTAAAATCAGAAGGTGTAGGGTCAGGAATATGACCCTGTTTGAGAAGTCTGGGGTCAGGAAGAGGCCAACACTGTGGTCAGCAGAGACATGTTGCAGAGTTGGGTGAGTGTCTGCGGTGAGAAGAAAGGGTTCATTACTGGTGCCTGGAGTAGCTCCTTCCTAACATGTTTTATTCCTTTGTGGATTATTTGTTTAGGTAGATGGTTCATTAATTCTGGACTTTGACTTTTAAAAACTTCATCTGGAAGTCTTTCTTTAAAAAATCTGTGTTTATGATAGAGAAAAGAATAGGAAAAAGAAAAGAACAGCCCATTGCTGTATCAGTATGTCAGCGTCTGGCATCTGTGTTGAGTTATGATTACTGTTTAATTTAAATGACTATTTACACTTTTGTTTTAGAATGCTCTCTTTTCCTAAACCTTTTAGTGTAGTGTTCTTCAGGTCTCTGGCTGCACTTCACTTTGACTCTTAGCAAGTGGAATTCTCTCCTGGAACTTCCAGTGTGCTCTGTTGGCGGAGCTTCCGTGATGACTCATTATATCTGTGCACGAGAGCCTTCCAGCTCACAGAGCACAGACGGGCGTTCATCCTGCGTGAGCCCGCGACCCACTCTGGGAGACAGGCAGAGAGGCTATTCCCCGCTTTCCTCAGCAGGTGCAAGTTGGACTAGACCTCGGGCTTTTCATTTCCAGACGAGGCTACTTTTCATTAAACATGAATTGAGTTCTCTGAGTTACAAAAATGAAGAGAGGCACAGTTTTATTTCTTGCCCGCTGTTGTCTTAGGAAGCAACCTATACTTCTGGAAGGATAAAAAAGAAATAGGTTTTGTTTGGAGAGACCCCGCGTTCTGTACCTTTATGACATGGGATTGGTAATGAGGAATTATCTCAAGAGCTGCAGCGCAAAGTAAAGATGTGACTTTTGTTGTTTCTCTCTTTTTTTTTTTTCTGTTGCTTGTTATTTCATTGGACTAGAATGTGACTGCACAGAGTCCTGGGGTGGCTGCATCATGGAGGAAACAGGGTAAATTTTCATTTTATATATTCATTTGACATACGCCTTTCACTGAAATTGCTGCTTATGATTAGATACACAGTCTCCTAGGTACTGCCTTTTAGGCTCAGCACTCAGTATAAGTTCGATCATAAATTATCTGGTATTTTAGAAATGGAAGGATAAATTTGCCTTCTATTTTAACTTTTTGCTTAAATTTGTTGATAAGAGCAAAATACAGTAATAACTTCTATTTCTATTAACCTTTAAAGGAAGCACATTATTAAATGCTTCTAAGTTTAGCGGAGGCATTAATTTTTTAGTGCACTTAGAATAAAAGCTGGTTGTCTGCCTGAAGCCGTCTGTGAAAATCAATTTAGTTATCAATTTATATTTTAAGGAACTCTCAAATAGACATGTTTGCCATAGTAAAAGAAATTGCACTGTATTGCTTATATAATCAATAAAGCTTTTTTTTGCTCTTAAGATAGATTTATCGTGTCTGAATTAGGTATCTCCTATTGATAGAAATTTGACATTTTGTCACCTATCTCCTCTCTTCTTGTGAGGATACTTTGGGAACTAGAGCCACTTCCCCGGAGCTGCCACTGCATCTGTGAACCAAAGCCTGGGAACATTGCTCCCCAGGCCTGCACCCATGGGGGCCACTGACCCAGGGCCCCCTAAGCCAGAGACCACCCCTTCTAGGTGGAAGAGGTTTTCTCACCCGCTTTGTCTCTCCCGCTCCTTCTGCCATGCCAGGTAGCTGCTCAACATGTCACCCATTTCTGGTCCTACCCCCCCAACCCAGAAGAGCCCCAGTGGCCAGAGGCCCTGACCTGCTCGTGCAGAGTCCCTTGCTTACTCTTCCCCCAGGAGTACTGCTCATGGGAGGGGGAGTGTGAGTGTGAGGGTTTGCAGAGAGAGTCAACATTCTGCCCACTGCTTTAGGACATGGGTTTCTAGAATTGTAGTTTAAACGTGAAACAGTTAGCTTCATGGCCCCCTCACTGTTGCAGCATAGTTCAGTAACGTATGGCTTAAACAGCATTTTTGAGCACTACTGGAGGAAGGTGACACTATTTATAATATTGCTTCTAAAGGAAGGTGATTTCTGCCTTCTAAACTCCCAATTTCTAAATGGATGTTTGGACTGACCACCCTTAGGATATAATAAAACTATTTAAAGTTAGTGTGTGTGTGTGTGTGTGTGTGTATAGTATAATACTTCTCTTTAGGGTTTCCTTGTTTGCCTCAATTGTATTCCTGAAGCCTGCATTATATAATCTTTAATAAGTTAACTGTCACAATTCCTTCCTCCAAAGTAAAATCTAGCAGTTTCTCTTGCATCTCTTATTCGAGACAGAGGCAAAAAAGTGCTTGCCTTTACGGAGACAGAGCATATAAAAATGACCACTTTTACAAATATAGCCTGGGTGGGGAAGTCTTGTGAGGAGCTTTCTAAAACTGTACCAGGCCCAGGAGGTTGTAACCTGCCTCCCAATCTGTGGGTTTCTTTGAATTTCTATTTTTATAAACTCTACCACACATACTTATTTGGCAGTTGGAACATAAATGGCTTGTCAAAATTTGTGTGGAATCATCTCAATCCAGAGTGAAGATTTTGTTCTAGCTCGAGGGTTTTAATTTTCTTCTCTGATCATTGCCTTTTGTAAATTATTTACATAATTGATTCTTTATTTTCTCAGGGTGTCCCATTCCCGAAAGTTCTCAAAGTGCAGCATTTTGGAATACAGAGACTTTTTACAGAGAGGGGGCGGAGCCTGTCTTTTCAACCGGCCGACAAAGGTAAGTAACTCAGTGTAATCATTTGTCCGATTTTGTTTTTGCTTCTAAGAAATTCATTTAATGTATGTAAGGTTTATGAAGGCAACAGCCTGGGAAATCATCTATACCTCAGATCTGCTCGCAAACCTCTTAATTGTGGAAAAAGACATAAAAGCCATTCTTGCGTTTTACTCCTTGTTTTAAAGACCTGTTATGCTCTCTGTTTCTATGAGCACTGCTATATCCAAGAAGACTCTTTGACTGTCCAGGGCCTATCCTTTCAGAGAGTGTTTTTTGTATGTTATCTCTTGGTCTCTCTTGTTGGGACCTTGGTTATTTTATTTTCCTATTCGTAGTGATATTTGGGACTCTCCACCTTGTGTACTCTAGCTTGTTCCTTGAGGTAGCCGTTAGAAGGCTCTCTCAGTGGATTCTGCGTCTTTTTTCTCCCAATCTCTCAGGTTTTGTAAGGTTTCCAATGGCTTCAGATCTTTTCTGTGTGATGTATGGGCGCGAGTGCAAGTACGGAGCTCCTTACTTCTCCGCCATCTTGCCCTCTCTCCCACGTTTTACTCCTTGTGAAATATTGAAAACTAGCTTAATAAAACTAGATGCACAAAGACAATTTTTTACAGTGGAACACTGCCAAACGTCAGATACTTGTCGTGGAAAATAGGTTTTCTTTTTGTCAATCAGATTAATATTTATAGAAGCTGTTATCGTGTTGAAGAACTGGTCCTGTTTAAATGAATGATAAAACCATAGTTTCCCTGCTGTGAATCTTTGATTTTTCAAGGCTGGCTAAAGACCTTCCCCTCCAAAAAAAAACAAACAGCTTCAATTAAAATATCTTTGAAGTTTTCATGTTAGGGTTTTTCATCTTGCTGCTAAGAGATTGTGGGTTAGATTAAAACATATTGCTTTAGGGGCTTCTGACTGGCTCAGCTGGTTAAGCATCTGACTGCGGCTCAGGTCATGATCTCTTGATTCGTGAGTTTGAGCCCTGCGTCAGGCTCTGTGCTGACAGCTCAGAGCCTGGAGCCTGCTTCAGATTCTGTCTCCCTCTCTCTCTCTGCCCCTCCCCTGCTCACACTCAGTGTCTGTCTCAAAAATAAATAAGTGTTAAGAAAATAAAAACAAAAACAATAAAAAATATTGCTTTAGCCCATTTCTCTGACAAAAATTCCATTTTTTTTGACATTCTCTCTAGGGCTTTTTTTTTTTTTTTTTTTTTTTTTTTTTTTTTTTTTTTTTTTTTTTTTTTTTTTTTTTTTGAGTGGTCTATTCTCCTAGATGGGAGATGGGAAGCATTACTAATATGAGCTAGCCCAAAAAATGGCTCAAGGTATTTATGGATCTCATAAATGCATATGTGTATTTATTATGTAGTCTCTCTGTGTGGGAAGGTCCATGTTGTCAATTGGCATTTCATCAAATTCATATACACAGTGTCACAATCCTTATACATAATTCTTTAATTCAAAAAGCTCAGAAAATTAGAAGTGTTCTTTATGAGTTTTCATAGAACATGTTGAGGCAGTAAAACTTGTCTTGGACTGAAAACCTTCATTATCTCTCCTAGTGTAAATATTCATGTCTTACTGCAGAAATATAAATGTTTTTGATCATAGGATATGCATGAAGCCCCTCACAGCTATTACATAGAACATGGTAATTGCATCATACTTTTCTAAAATCTGGCAAAGCCAGACTTCCACATTCACTGGCTACAAAGCTTTTGGATAAGGGATCATGGACCTATAGTAGCATTTTTGGAAATGAGTTGTTCAACAAGCAAAAAGTCAGGATTGCTGCTAATTAGCAGATGATATAGAAATTCTAACATTGCAGGTTTCATATTTCTTTTGACCATACTACTTCGTAAGTCAAATATAGCCCATTTGCTATACAAAAGGATTTAATGCTCTATGAATTGACAGAGCAGTGAAATCACGTTAGCCTTAAAAAAAAATATCAGTGACTAATGTGAATAAATGACAGAATAATTTGCTCCTGTCCTCATAAGTAAGTGAGACTCCTGGAGTCGGGGGATAGTGGTTTGATGTCTGACATCTGTATAAAGTCTCAGTAAGGATGCGAAAAAAGAAACAGGAATTTTAAAGTGACTTTGCATCATTAAATTCGGCTGCCTGCCTTTCATGGCATTGATCTCAACATAAGAAATCTGAAAACTTCGAAGTGTTTAAAATGGGGGAAATGAGTAGTAATGAATTAATGTGAGCTGCTGGCATTATGAATTGCAATGTATGTGACTAATCTTATCTGCCTTGTGGCTCACCAGCTAATTATAAGCAGCATGCCTGAGGGAATAGCATGAGTTCTAAGGTTTCTCGTGTGTGTATAAGGATCCACTATTAGATTTCCAAAAGTCCTGTGAGTAGAAAGAAAATTATTCCAATAACTTGGAAACTAAATAAAAATAACTATACATCTTCAATTTTAAAAATTAGTAAATACAGGGGCACCTGGGTAGCCCAGTCGATTAAGTGTCTGTCTTTGGCTCAGGCCATGATCTCACATTCATGAGTTCAAGCCCCACTTCATGACAGCTCAGAGCCTGGAGACTGCTTTGGATTCTGTGTCTCCCTCTCTCTCTGCCTCTCCCCTGCACATTCTCTCTTTCTCTCTCTCTCACAAAAGTAAATAAACATAACAAAATTAAAAATTAGTAAATACAGATATATTTTTAAGCTACATGGCAGAATTATTTATTTATTTATGAGTTATTTATTTATTTATTTTGTGAGAGAGAGCGCGCACTCATGAGAGAATCCCAAACAGGCACCGTGCCACCAGCATGGAGCCCTACGTATGGCTCCATCTCATGAACCATGAGATCATGACCTGAGCAAAAGTCAAGAGACAAATGCTTAACCAATTGAGCCACCCAAGTTCCCTAGAAGAATTTTTTTTAAGCTTCTATGGATTCCAGTAGAACTGTTTATATGTATGCATCAAAGGATGGACTTTTTTTTTTTCCTAAGTGCTGTTAGTGAATGAATGTAGGCATGCATGATTTGTATGTTATTTTCACATTATCTGTGTGCCTCTTTTCTGTGCTGTGGGACCCTTCCCACGGGTCATGTTTTCCACTTAGTTTGTGATCATGGCCTGTCACTGGATGGAAGCAGGGTCCAAGAGTGAAATCTGGTAGTTGAATCCATGAGAGGCCTGATAGGAAGTGGTAGCCATGTTCCAGTCTTACCTTTCCATTTCCATTTTCTCCTGCCTGCTGATAAAATACCAAGGAGATTTGGACTGTTGATTTCACGCATTGGACTTTCCCATGGGAGTCCGACTCCACCCAAGTACCCTGGAAACCTTTCTTGCTTTAATAAGAGTTTTCCCTTCCTGGAAGTGGAAGGAGAATTAGGTCTTTGTCTGGTGAACTCAGTGGAAGGCACTCCTTCCTTGGGGTGTGTTGCTACTGGCGAAGGGATCTCTTTTGCCCACTCATACTCATGGCTTTGAGCTTTTGGGTTGGGATGTGCTGTTCCAGTCTTCATCCAGGTGTGATGGACATGCCCAGAGAGCTCTTGCCCCAGCTGATGGAAAATAGGAAGTTTCTTGTAAACAATCAACTGCCTCTATCATTGGTTGGCAATGTAGTTTATCTGGCAAGCAAGTTCATAGCACTAGCAGAGTGAATCATTCTAGAAACTTGACTCTTCCATTGCTCCAGAAATGACTGAGCGATTTCTATAGAGCCATGCATATGTCTGAGTATTTATATAATATGCTTAAATTATAAGCATAATCTTATGCCTATATAATCTGTAAGAAATTACAGATTTCTTTTCAATGAGAATTATGGGCCGCACTTTTTCCAAGCTTATTTGTATTTCCTTGATTGTGTATATCACATTTGGCTGTGACTGAAACATTTTTATCATTTTGACAATTTTTATGTTTTCTCAGTTGCTTTGAGATAAGTCACTAAATTAGATATCTGTGAGTCATAGTAATGCATTTTAGCTCCATTAGCAAATATGATAAGTGATCTATTCTTTTTGACAGCTTATTTCCATTAACAAATAATTCTCATGGTAGGGCTCATCTCTGGAGCCCACCTCCAGAGAATCCTCCAAGAAATATTACCCCATTTGGAATAGGTTTTCAGAAGTGTTATTAATAAGTGAACAGAGTTCCCCACACAGACATCATTTATAGGTGCCATAACAACAGATCACAGAAGAATATAACATGATAGCTGATTATAGGGCCGTGTATGTGGCCCAATTGGTGTGTTGATTTTCTGTGATAAATGAAAATATTTTTCCTTTCTCTTCCTAATCTCTTTCAGCTATTTGAGCCCACAGAATGTGGAAATGGATATGTGGAGGCTGGGGAGGAGTGTGACTGTGGTTTACATGTGGTAGGTATAAGAGATCTTTTCGGTCTTTGGCACAGTTCTTACCCAGAGCAAACAAGAATAGCATTAGTGAAATACTGGCTCTTCTCTGTGGTCTTACTGCCTTTCTTTCTCATCTCTATTAATGCTTAATCCCAGCTCAGACATGTTAGAATTAATCATGTCCTTATAGCCTTGTTTGAAAACAAACAAAAACCCACATGGGTTCTTCTAATCAAATTTCTTACCTCTTAAAAATCCATAGCTCATATCCATCCCATTCAAATTTTACCAAATCATGAAACATGGTATGTGTTATTTTTGTCTTTTTAAAACTAGATACAGTCTTGGGGCACCTGGCTGGCTCAGTCAGTGGAGCATGTGACCCTTGATCTCTGGGTAGTGAATTTGAGCCCCCTGGTAGGTGCAGAGATTACTTTTAAAAAGTAAAGTCTTAAAAAAACTAACTAGAGAGAGTCTTATGAATGTATTAGAGCTAACCAAAGGTCAGGTGCCTGCTAAGAAAATAAGCTTACTTTTTGGTAGAGAAGCCCTTTCACAGAAGATCACCCTTTGCTGAAAAATATGGCAGGAAGGAATCTCACCATTGTTTAAAGTGATTACTTCCTAGAATATTTGCTTGCTATTGTATAAGTCTCCCCACATGGATTTTACACGTGGAGACAGGGTTGAATGACCAGCAGGTAAGCTTCTTCGCTTACTCACGTGAAGCTGTTTCCTTTAGGAATGCTATGGATTGTGCTGTAAGAAATGCTCTCTCTCCAATGGGGCTCACTGCAGCGACGGGCCCTGCTGTAACAATACCTCATGTCTCGTGAGTTTCCTGGCACTTTCCTCTTCCTTTTCATGGACACATTCGCTAAATACCTCAGTGTGTACATAGAGCATTTGTAGAGCTTGCCACAAATTTGTTGGTTGACATATGCGTCAGTTTTGTACAATCAATAAATCTACCTAAATTCTGGGGATCAAAACATTTACCTTTACTATGATTCACTGTCAACTATCCTACCTTTCAATGCCTCCTTAAGAAAATATACATATACTCCTTCCAAATGAACATGGAGTTGCCCTGGTAATGCAGATGAAAGCCCCATTAAATGGTTGAATAGAAAAGGGACAATTCCTGTGGTCTTTTTAATAATAGGACCTAACATTTATCTTTAAAACTTTCCGCAATTTATTTTGGACAATTAACATAAAACCTAGTGCTTACATTTTTCAGTTTGGTTTTTGAAAGCCCCTATAAAGGCAAGAAAGCTAGATAAGGAATGTTTGTATGTGTATATATACAGCTAGTGTGTGTGTGGACACAGTTAACTTCCATCTGTAGAACCTCCAGTGAGCTTTTGAAAACTCACTTTTTAAACATTCCTTTTTTCTCATTTACCAAACCTCTAACATTTCTTAGAACCATAAAGTTACATGATTTTATAATTTTTTCACTACCAAGAAGTAGCATGCATTATGGCATTTTAGGAATTCCAGCTTGACTGTCTTATGTTCCCCACCAGATTATAAATTGCTTGACATCAGTGGTCTCTTCCCTTCATCTTTTACCCGCTCCCTCAATGTGGTTGGCACCACTGAAAAGAGTTCATATGAATTCACTGAAATTTGATCGTGTATATTTAGCTACAGCAAGATTAACATCGAAGCTCATAGGTACAGTTAGTGTAGGCTGAGTGTGTATATCAATCTCCAGAGAGATCTTGAACGTTGCTCTTTTGTCTTAAACCACACTATTGTATCTTCTTCACATAATTGCCATTATTTTGTTTCCCAAAAGTAATACTCTGAGACCGTGGGTTTTGAAATCTAAAATTTAATGGCTTGGTTGGTGATTCATATTTACTACAGAGAGTGGTGGTATCTGGGCCTTGTTTCTATTCCACAACTGTCTTGTTAATTCATAAAAAGGGTTTGGTGATGGTTATGAGAGAGTGTTTCTGGATTGCTGGTGAATAAAACAATACTATTTGAAATATAAACTTAATACTAGCTCCTAATATTGAATTTTGATTTGCAGTTTCAGCCACGAGGGTATGAATGTCGGGATGCTGTGAATGGGTGTGATATTACTGAATATTGTACTGGGGACTCCGGCCAGGTATGACAAGCTGAGTTTTTAAATAATACATTTTTCTTGCATGTATCATACACAGTGGAAAGCTTTCAACTCGGACTACATGTGGGAATATGATTTGGTTTCTTTGTTTTTTGTTTTTTTTTTTTTTACTTTGTTTTCTAGTAATTTCTAGATCTCCATTATGCTTTATTTTAGGGGCATTTGTTGTAGTTCTTGGGCCTAAATCTCTTTTTTCTTCCAAATTTCTGCTTCATGATTAGTTCCCTTTATGTGGTTTCTACCCAACAAATTGATCTTTCTTTCTGTCCGCACATCTAAAATTCTATGTTCACATTCATGTGTACTGTTAATGGATTGTACTGTTTCCAAAAATTTTTAAGCCACAAAGCCCTTTCTTTCAAGAAGAAGATGGGAGGATGCCCACTGCAGAAGGCAGAGAACGAGTAGCACTGCTCTGATTGAAAAGGGACCACGAGCAGGTGTCCCCCCCCTCAGTTCTGTCTACTTACATCGTCCTGGCATCATGGCCCATATGCTTTGGTGTGGACTTCTTCACGTTAAAAACTATTACAACATTATAATTAACGTTGCCCGCCAGCATTGCTCCTGCACATAATTTTTATGTCTCAAACATGTATATCATGTGACTTTAAGTCTTTATTTTTCCTTCAAATGAACGTTTGTGGAGTACCTGCTCTGTGTCAAGCCCTGCTGTAAATGGGGTATGGTAGGGAACCAGATAGACCAAGTCCTTGTACTTATGAGACTTACATTCCACTGGGTGGAGATATATGTGAACAAAAACCTCGATGGTGGTAAGTGCTCAGTGTAAAATAAGATGATGTAAGATATGGAGTGGGTAGCATTAGGCAGAGTGGTCAGGTGCATTTTCCTGGAGGAGTTGGCATTTAAGAAGAGACACAAATAAGGAGCTACTCAGAAGACAGTGAGGAAGGAAGCTTGTCTTCCCCAAGAAATGGAATGAAAGCAGGGATTATTGGAGAGTAGTGGGAACAAAATCAAGAGGAAGTCAGGAATCAAGGCAGTAAGGAACTTGGTGGATTTCATTCTACATTTGTTTTTGCTCTGACATGACTTCAAAAACATTTTTCCTGTGCTATTACACAGTTTTTATAAATATCCTTTTTATAATTACATGTAAGTCTGTTATGTGGATTTATCATTTGACTTGTGGCTTATTATCCCATCGTGAATATTTAGGTTCTTGGCAGTTTTTCATTATTATAATTGATACAACAGTGAACGTCTTTGTGCATCTTTAAAAATGTTTCATGTTCCAGGTTTACACCTTTGGATAAATTGCCCAGGAATAGAGTTATCTCTTGCCAGGTACTATGGTTTCCAAGGGGCTCCCAATAAGTAGAAGGCAGAGAACAAGTAGCACTGCTACTCATTGGAGGTCAAAATACCATTTGAAAGCTATAACTTCGTGTGAGACCTAAACGAGCCTCCTTCTAGATCCCATATTCAGGCTGTAGCAACAGGTTATTACAGTGGTGGGTTATGGGGTGACTTCTCCCTGCAAAGGTGGGTCCTTGCCTTGTGTGTCTTGGAGGGACAGTGGAGAGAGTATAATTTTTTCGAGAAAGCAAGAGAAGAAGGCAGAACTGAGCCAAACTGCGTCGTCGTAGTTCTTACTTGCTTTGTCAATCAGTCAGCCAGTCTTCCTGCCTGGGGCGGAGTCGGGGAGGGAAGCAGTGTAGGAACAGAGTGGCCAGAATTACACTGAGTTCCCTTCCCTGGGGAAACAAAACAGAACAAAACAAAAAACCCAAGAGGAGAAGGAGGCAAAGGTTTCTAACTAACCTTTGGAAGGTTCTCAATGTGTATTATCTGAGATTCAATTCAGAGGGACCCTTTTTTTTTTTTTTTTTTTACAAATAGTTTATTGTCAAATTAGTTTCCACATAACACTCAGTGCTCATCTCCATAAGTGTCCTCCTCTATGCCCATCCCCCCTTCCCCCCCACATCCATCAGTCCTCAGTTTTTTTTCAGCATTCAAGAGTCTCTCATGGTTTGCCTCTCTCCCTTTCCCCCACCATTTCCACCCTTCTTCTCCCCCTGGTTCCTCCGTCAAGTTCCTCCTAATCCTCCTATACGTGCAAACATATGATATTTGTCCTTCTCTGCCTGACTTATTTCGCTCAGCATAACACCCTCAAGGTCCATCCATGTTGCTACACATGGCC